CGATTTTTCCTATGCATGGTGAATTTTCTTCAGACTTCCACCATGGGCTGGGTATCCACTATAAGAACTTTCCAAAAAGTATGAGAAGTGGGGGGCTGGGAGAGAAGTAACGCGTCGAGACTCTATATTGTTTAATATTGTTTAACTGACATATTAACATATAGTATTAACTATTTTATTGCTTGATGTAAAGATGATGAGTTAAATCAAGTAAATGATTGTATGAAGACTCCATAAATTGTAAAAATATGAAGAATGGAATTTCAATGAAAAGAAATGACTTACGGGTGAAAATGTAATGTACACTTCAAACTTAATGAGACCTTCACTGAAATCTCTAAACTCTTAATCAGAAGAGCGGAAACTTCACCCTTCAGATTAAAAAGAAAGTGGATTACGGGTGAAAATGTACCATCAAACTCAATTATTAATCAGAAGAGTGGAAGCTTCACCCTTCAGATAAAAAAGTAAGTGGATTATTGGTGAAAATGTACCCATCAAACTCAATTATTAATTAGAAGAGTGGAAACTTCACCCTTCAGATTAAAAAGTAAGTGGATTATTGGTGAAAATGTACCATCAAACTCAATTCTAGCTTCGAGAGAGAGACTACATACTTTCTTTGATGTATAGATGCATGAAAGGAAAATATTTGATGGTATGACATTGTGACACAAATTATTTATTGAAATTAGTTTCGTTTTACTTGATGGTAACGACGTCATACCGTCGCCAAGTTCTAAAAACTGTTCTTGTATATATATGAGGATGAGGAGTTTTAAAGTCTGAAAATTTGTATCTGAAGTTATGAGAAATCGAAATCCCCAATCAAACTCCCCAAAAACATAAGCATTACTAGTGGAACAAATTCCAAACAAACTTTCCGACAGATGCATTCCTTCTCCATACCATTGCAAAGATCTGCACAAATTGGATAGCATTGTCATCAACTCAATTGCGAAATTTGGGCAAGTTGGGCTCAATAATCGACTCATGCGGATCGAAAAGCTGTTCCACTTGATGGTCTGCGAGTGAGCCGCTGGTTTGGATTTCAGCCCGGGTCGAGAAGGAGCGATTTGGAGCTAGCAAAGTTGAGGACGACGCATCCTAAGTTTGCTGGGAAGGACGCGGGCAGCATTTAGGAAGCATATTGCTTATGCACATACTCAGGAAATGATGCATCGTTCATAGCCATGCGTGAGGAAAGTAGTAATTGCCTACATCATTGGTTGATACTAGCACATGGTATATATGCAGGCCTCATAAAAATAGTTAATCTATAAATAGATGATTAATTTGACAAATTTCACTTTGAAAAAATAATTCATTTTTGGAAATTTTTACTTGGTAGCTTTTGACAATTTTTGCGAACAACGGATTGTGTGGAGTCCGTTCATGCAGTCTACCTCTGGAATTCGTTGTCCATCCATTCTCTTTCGCTCCCAGCATCTGCTATCATGGCAGTTGAGACTCCTTCCAAAAAGCAGAAGATTTTCGCATCCGTTACCACGTTGTTCCCACCAAAGCATGAGCTAATGTATGGTGTGAAACCTTGTGAGAATGATCCAAGAGGCGTTATTTTAGGAGTTCGTTGCCATTTCTGTGTTGCATTTAGTCGCGAGAAGAAAGTATCATAGTCTTGCTGGATTTTCAGATCATCGTTTCGTCCATAGAATTATCGTAGTCATCTCGAGTCTCAGCATGCCCATAAATTGGCTCAGTACCAGTCACTTTCAGATGCTGAGAAAAAGAATTTCTTCAATGTCACTGTCAAGGCAGCAGAAACAATTCCTTTTTTTTTGGACAGCCAATCAGAACAGTTGACCTTCGTTTTCAACAAAGCTGTTGTTGACATTATTATTAGAGTAATCCTTTAGAATCCAGACGATGTTGATTGCGATCATTTCAGATCGAATGCCCTTTCTCTTTTTCGTCTCAACGAATCAACGAAGTCTCCAGCAAGTACGAGGTCGTAGTGAAGCAGGTGAAACAATACCAGCTGGCCACACTTATTGTGAGAAGAGGGTTTTTGTTTCGTCGCAGCATTTGCAATTCAAGATGCAAAAATGGTGACCAGTTGTGTCCAGCTCGGCAACTGCAATGACTTGATCGTGGCGAAGTACGTTGGCGTGGTTTGTGTCGTTGCTTTCCAAAATATTTTGCAATTGTTGTATGAAGCCTGTGCCTTTGCAATTGCAGTTAATGGATCGGAATGTCAAATTACCTCTTACATTGACGCTTGCGTTCGGCTTTACTTCAGCGGCAATCTTCTGAATTACCATCTTATTGCAATTCCGTTTTCTGGAAGCCATACTAGTTCTGTAATGTTAAATGTGATTGAAACAATTTTCAATGCTTTGTGCACTAAATGGAAGTCTAAGCTCATTGCATGTTCAACGGATGGTGCTACAAACATGACAGGCCATATTTCTGGACTTGTTAATTGTACTGCGACGTCGGGCTATCCGAATTTGTCCGAATTTGGTGTGCTCTACACCAGATTGTTATTGTGATGCAAAAGCTCAACGTAAAGTTGATAACGGCCAGTTTTATCCGGCATTAACGAGTATGATTTCGCATCTACGTCGACAAAAAACATTGATTGACCGATTGATATTGACTTGTCCGGCTTCTCTGGAATCCGTTGGGTTTCGATGTCTTGTGTTTCATCTTATCTTCTTGAACATCAAACTAAGATTCTGGAGCATTATCAAGAGCTTAGCTCAGAACGACGTAAAAGCGAACCGTTGTCTTCTTTTTGGATATATCTAGTTGCAGTCAATGTTACTGTGACAGACGTCAATGAGATAGCTCAACACCTTCATGGGAAACATGCCCTTTTAGTCCAGTAGTCGTTCGAGATCGAAGAATCTATCAAGCGAATCCGCAAGCTGGCGTTTGCTAAGGAGGTGGTAGAGATGGATCTTCATGCTGGTCCTGTTGAAGACGTGATTCAATGCAATGGCTTTAGCTATTTGAAACATGAGCTCAACGGATTTGTGACCGATCAAGGCCTATTTGTCTTTCACTTCATGAGGGGATTACGGCCGGAAGAAATCGATAAAATTCTTGAAAATGTTACTGAAATGTTCAGCACTCTGACCTTTGGTCTGCAAGACGTCCAAGCTGAGAGCGATGAATTCAATTGCGGGTTTGTGAACAAGAATCTGCTCACGCTTCCTCTGAAAATTGTAGAAATGCGACCCAAAGAATTGATTGAACTCGTTGAACAGCAGCACGCTCGGATTTCTGTCACCTGGAACGACAAAAGAATTGATGAGATTTGCTCTCAACCGCGCGCGCTGAAATTACGGCGTGAGAACCAACCTTGGTTCAAGTCTCTGTTATCTCGTTCCTGTGACCCAGTAACAGCAAATTTTGACAAAGCGTGGAGCATTGAAGTCATCGCTTCTGAATATCCATACCTTTGTTCATTCGCATGCGGCCTTGCTTCAATGTTTCCAAATACCGTCTCTATTGAGTCCGATTTCTCCGCTCTTAAATGGGAGAAGTACGATTTTTGTCATTCTTTGACCGATTTTTCACTGGAAGGCATTCTCCACTGCCTTCAGATGTTGCATCAAAAGTGAATAACTCTCCAAACTGACCATATTTTGCTTGTTTTAGGTGATTTCAATACAAAATATGGCACTTCTAGAGGAAATGACTATTTTGACTCATTTCCTTTTGAAAAAATGACTAAATTTCGGAAATTTAGTTAAAATAGTCATTTGACTAATTTTATGAGGCCTGTATATATGTACCACATAATACATAACGTCGATTGAATCCCACAGGTTAAAATGAAGCTTGATGGGTACCAATAAAAAATTCATGTTACGATGAGGTCCCATCCAATATTTACCTCAAACTATGCACGCAGCACTAATTGTATTTAGGACATTTGCAGTGGGGAACTTCAACTGCACCTTTACAATTTGGAGTGGGAAGACTTCTAGAGGCCGGCTTTCAAAACACTCGGTTAACAAGGTGGTCAACCTTTTTTGACCCTGCTTCCTTACTTGAGGCCGCTTGTCAGATGTTGACCAAAGTTGACGCGATGTGCACAGGACAAGAAGCATTTCTAAATTTCCTTTTCTCCTTCACCTATTCTACGGATTCCGTAACTGTCCGTTGGAATAGAAGTCATAAATAGACAGTTAGTTTTAAAACCATCCCCCATGACGGCTCTGACATGACACTTAGATTCTCGTATCTCATGTTATTTCTCATTAGAAATAACATCCTCCCAAGTCCAGAACAATCACAGCCAGCCCCAAGACATCCTTTCACAATGCTTTCAACCTCACTTGCTTACTGTCCAAGGTTGTATATCCACGACATCCTTTCACAACGCTCTCCACGATTGTATATTCGTGATCTGGAAGGAGTTGTGACTCTGCTCACTATTAAATTTGCCTGGCGGCTCTAGGGCTTCCGTCAGTCCAAGTCTTCCACAAACAGTTTAAATTTATCCAAGTCGTTTAGCAACCTACAGGATTAAATTGGGGCTCATTTCACAGACAAGCAATGACGGATTCTTCAACAGACTTCCGTTAAACAAATTTCTTATATTATTCAGGAGTTCATACTGAGGTGACTTCTATTAAGACGCCTGAATGTATACAATATGAAAACATTTCGATCTGTTTTTAACTCAAGCTCACTGCATCACATGCATACAGATATTTCTTTAGACTTGGTCTCTTAGATTCCAAATTGGAAAATCATCACCTCATGTTCATTCATTTCTCCTCAAACCATTTCGGATCACTTCACAATACGTGGCGTTGAACATATACATCTATTTCATCACTTTCGGCTAGAGGCCAATCAATCAACTTGAGAAAAAAGGCCTACAGAATATTAGTCCCACACTGGCAAAGAATTACTCGATTGACGTTATTAGTCTTAAAAAAGGTTCCAGATACGATATTGTAGAAAACATAGATTAGCACATCACACACAACGACCAGACCACGGTCTCACTTCTTTGCCCTCTTAAAGTTATAATCTTCTCAAAGAAAGTGACATACACAAATCTTGTTTTAGAGGTGATGTTCCCATATTAAGATACTAAATTTGTTTCGACCTTCACTGCGAGAAAGGTTAGAGATGCAAGTAAACCAGCCCATATTGCTCATAACCAGCTCGTAACTTCCCATTGCACCGGTCTCAGTTTCAACTTTCCAAGTGTCGTGTAACTTGATTCAAGTGTAGAAACACTTGAATCATAAGATCAGAACAAATTTCTTATTCTCGCCGTACGGTTTTGACCTTTTGACTTCATGATTTATCTATATCCAGAAAGGGTAAAGGACAACGATCTGGAGTAATGAAAAATACAATCCCCCGGACCTGCCTTCCGCGCATTCAAAGTTCACAGCTCACCACCAACAGAAACTCCAACAAAGCAGACACAGCTAACTCAACAAGTGCATCGCACGGAAACTGACCAGGTCCCACCTAACGTATGAATACCAAACTGCTCCATACCAAAAACCAAATGTACGATTTCGTCTGCGAGAAAAATACGCCGGAAATGCTTCAGTGGTGAAGAGTCTTGATTGAAGATTTATTGAGTACCCTTCACAAAACTCAGCACACTTCTCTGGACAAAGTGGATGAGCAACTAAGTAGTTGTAAATAGCTCGCCTTCGCTAGAGGCATCCCTTCGAGTTCAATTCGTCGATGTAGACACTAACCTCAAGTTTCCGCAGCCCAATGGGAACATGTTGACTAGTTCCAAAGCTCACGCCTACGCACAACGCAGGGCTTAAAAGATTCTTACTACTACGCTTCACTTCTCTCTTCAGCAACGTTGTTGAAAAGTGAATGTGCAAGTACTGACTCTGAGAAGCAACCTTCTTAACAGTGGCCAACATTCCCCAAGTTAACCTACAGCCGGACGTCTCTGCTGACTCTCTACAATGTTGGGCTCCTCGTATATCCTACATTGAATGGTGGACATTGTGCTCACGTCCCAGATACTGAAACAAGAAGGAAGGGTAAGACATCTCAGAAATAACACCAAGAGCAGTCTTCAAGAGACTGTACCTTCCCACTTCAACCCAGTATCATTATCCAACCAGCGGCATCACTACTTTGGGTAAGCAACACTACCCAAATCGCGTATCTCGCTTCAGAACTCAAAACCATTTGGAGTGTGTACGAAATACACGTCAACAGCTCTCCCAATGTGAGTGCTCTGGGTTGACACAAGTTAAGTGCAGGGGTACCTTGCACTTGAGCAGGAATCCTCTTGGACAACCTTCCGAAGCTGAAGTGTCGCAGGAGCTGTGCACACCCAAAGTCCTTTCGCATCGCAACATTTCACGCTAACTTAACTGATCCACAGTCACCTGTGCCTAATATTGTACAGATGAGACCAATACGTCACTGGTAGGCCTGAAACATACACCAGTAACACTAAGTCGTTTCAGCCATCCAGATATGATCTAAATAAGGACCAAGAGCTGGAAAGACTCGTAGTAAGGTGCTGATTGTAGCATATTTTACAGTAACCCCAAAAAAAATTGCTGAATCAGTGTCCATAAGATCCTTGTTTGGATCCTGCAGGCGCCATATTCGCCCCAACCATTGTTCTAGGCAGTCCTTCAGAACTTGAAGACTGTTGCTGGGTAGTCGTGGCTATTGGCATAGAAGAACCAGATGTTGGTCCACCAATAGACTTAGGAGCAGTCACTGCGGCAGAACTTTCCGCTGGACCAAATGTGAAGACAGCAGATCTAGATTGAGCCACCGTGCTGGGTGTATTTGTTGATACCTTCGTATATGCTGCTGCTGAACTAGAGGATGTTGACTGCATCTGAGATGGTGCCTTCGAGTACGCTGCTGCTGCAGTGCTTGCAGGTTGCGCCTGACTCGGAGGGGCAGTGGAACTAAGACCTCTGGATTGCATGATCCGTGCTCGTTCGGCAATCACTTTGGCGCGTGCCTTCTCAACTTGCTCACATTCCTTACCAAGCACTGTCTCTAGCTCGGAGAACTGTTTTAACTTCAACTCCAACTTCTTCAGCTACAGTCACCCACAGTCAACAGAGTTAATACGCTCTTTATTCCTCTAGTTCGATTCGCTAGGGTAAGCAAGAAATGCTGTTCTTTGCATTGTAGTTAGAATGGACAAAGAAAGGTCTTATGGTGATACCATTCTACTCCGATAGCAGGCGGTGAACAGATGTGGACATTAAAGAGTCACTAACTTTTGGGTTTGTAAAACTTCAATAGAGTCGATGGAAAGGGCAAGACCACTTTAGATGAAACGTTGAGCTACCAAAGTTGATCACATAAATCTATTCGGAATGAACTCAAGATTTCACCCAGAAAACCTGATCACAACGTATGATCTGATAAGCCTCTCTCAATCCAAAAGATAAAGAAGAGAACGTTCGTTCATCACAAAATAAGGACGAATTGCACGCAGTCATGGGAGGGCTTCTACTTTCTTGCTGCAAGACGCGCAGATGTCTCTAGTGCGCCGAGACACCTACCTTGAACTTGAACATAAATATAATATGTATAGCACAACACACCTAAGCAAAATCCTCCTGAGTTGAAGAAGCAGGAAGACGGAAATTCGACACGATGTAATATTCTGAAGAGAACCAAAGACTACAACCGTACCTGGTTCTCAATAACACTAGCGACTAGCCGCTGTATCTCCCTCTCTTCTTGATCTGCAAGAAGCTTCGCTTTCACAGCGGCAGACGCAAGTGATGTGGCCGCTGCATTCTTCACTTTCGATATCGATGGCGCATCATCTTCTTTAGCTACTATGCTGTTGGTATTTCTCTCTTCAGCTTTGACAGACTTCTGTCCAACTCCATCGGCTGCACAATCAAGACAGTTGACTTAGCCCACAACTCAAATGACTATTAGCAAACTTTCGAACATTTTGCTTATGCAAAAGTTCTCCCAAGAAAACTTTACCTGCAATACCCTCTGCGCCGACAACCACATTCGCCACCTCGTCTTTCTTCTTCTCCTCTGCCGTTGTTGACATGGAGGCTTTGTTGTCAGAGGGATCCTTGGTAGGCCCAGAGGTAGATACGGCTTGATTTTGGTCTACTGGTGTTTCCGTCGACCTGCCAACTTCAAAAGAAAAGAGGTCTGAAAACCACATTGCGAAGCAAAAGCCTGAACAGGTTCATACATCAACAGAAGTAAGCACCAGCTAATCGCGGAAAAAATTGTCCTTTCACGACAACTGGATGCACATAGTTGCTTTGCTTCTTCGACAAAATAATACATACATTGGCATCGTAATGCGCTGACTACTGTTCCAACCAAGAGTTGAAGACATACACATTGAATGACAGTAAAGGCAAGGCAAAACCACCTTTCATCAGGTTTGGCTGGAACCACATTGTCACCCTTCACATCAGGAGGCTCTAGGCCAAAGGAGTTCTTTGATGAAAGATACCCAACAGGATCCTCTTCAGCTAGTGCTTTCAAGGCTGCTTGTGCAGCAGTTGCAGCAACACGTGGGCCAACCATTGCAGCAAGGAAAGCAACCTGCAAAACGCGAAGATTCAAGAAAATACTTTCAGAAAAGAAGTTTTGCAAACGATCTGTACTTAGCGTACCACCAGAAGAGCACAGTAATGCAACGATCGTGCTTGATCCTGACAGACGTAAAGGTAGAAACCAAACGCCGGATACCGAAGAGCAAGCAAGCTGTAGATAAATCAACACCCAAGGATAAGCATCCAAGAAGAGGAGCAATGTGGACAAGGAAATTAAGAGATCAAACGGCGATCATAGGATGGAAACGAAACTCATCACCAATAAGTCATAATTGATAAAGATTGAGCTACCTGTGCCATTACGGGGTTGCCGGCATCTGAAAAGGCTACCAGTCCGTCGGGCCCGGCAAAACCTGCAGCTTCCGCAGCTGCTAGCACGACGGACGCAACGCTAGTCTCATCTGTTTTGATTGCTTCAATACCTTTCGGGGCTACGCTGTCCTTCTCCTTTTCCTTATCAACTGAGACTACTGCTTTATCCCCAGAAGGAGTTGGAACACCACTATCCTGTCCTTGTTGCTCCCCTAGCTTAGAGCTATCTTTTTCACCTTTAGCCGACGGCTCCTCTTTCCCTTGTATCGTTAAAGTATTCTGATTTTTCTGAGCATCAGTCTTCCCATCCTTTGGGCTTGACGAAGCAGGACCTTTCGGATCACTGTCGCCCGGCGGTGGTTGAGGAGCAACGATTCCTCCGGTGAGAAGCTCCATGTTCTCCAAAAAGGGGTCTTCAATAGGCAATCGAATGAAGTGAAGGATACATTGAGCTTTCGATTTGGTAGCTACGTGCTCTGCAATCTCACTCCAGTTATCACCGTAAAGCTCCAACGCTTCCAGGAGCAACAAGGTTTCCTGGTCTGACCAGCCACCACCGTCGGCATCGGCAGTATCTGTCAATGCATCCATGCGAAGGAAATCTGTACTGGTCATACCTTCTCCAAACTTTCCGTCATTATAACAATCTGGGCAAAGATCAAAATCTGCCTGCAACACATCAGAATATGGTTGGTAGCATACAATTTACATAAACGCAAAAACTAGGTCTCCACTGCAAGCTCTCAGACGCGTTTATGATGGAGCGATGACTGCAAATACAAGACGAAGATTGCTGATGTGTTGAGCTAACACAGCCATGTCGGAAACGCATACCAACCAACACATGTATCCTCGGACTGCGTAAGAGTTATGCGCCTGCGAGATGTACAAGCACTACCTAACCCCAGGACACGTACACATCATGAACGCAAGAACGTCTCAAAAAGTGTAAGTGTGTGACTATTACCTGCTTTTGACAATGATAACGTCGCTTAGAGCAATCGGCTTGGCAGGAATTACAGTGATACTCGACATCAGGCCCCGATAAAGATTCGTGTAAAACATTTTCTACTAAAGAGGCGAGGGGAACATTAGTGGGAGGAACGGGAGGAGTGAGTAATTTGGTGGGAGCTGCGCGAGGAGCGTCAAACTGAAACAAGTTGGCCAACGCTGGTTTCGTTGTCGGGACCAACTGCAGAGCTCCGTTGGGGCTTTCTTCCACACCGCCAGGAGGAGGAGATAAAAAGCGAGAAAAGTCGCTGACAACCTGGTAGTTGATAAGCCCCCAATGATCCAGAAACTCAAACACACGAACCACGCCGGTGACATCCCCTGTGAGAAGTCCTTGCATATCCTCCGCCTTCAACAACTTAGAGGGATTCTCCCGGTACTTTGACATAATAAAATTTCGATGCTCCTTGTAAATCTCAGGAGTTTTAAGTTTGTTCTTCCCGCTGAAAAACTCTGGCAAACCTAGTCGCTCCAATAAATGTATTTGATTCCAGTTAAACCAGCCTGCGAGAATTGCAGTGTGAAAGTCCACTTTAGACCTGTTGTACATGACAACATTCACACGGGACTGAACTCAGACAAGACTTTACCACAGCGAAGAATGAAGAAGAGCACATTTATGACCGCACTGAGTCATGCGAAACGTACCAGCATGAGTAGGTATGAGGTGCGGCTTGGCTGGAGAAGTGGACGACGTGACCGCCATTGTGGAGCCAGAATTTTCCGCAGGCCGTGGTGCTCGAACGGATGAGCCCTGCCCATGAGAAACATTTTCCACAGGGGTGGTCGTTTTGGTTTTAGGGTCACCATCTCCATCTTTTTCCACGCCAGAGACCACAGCTTCCTCGGCAGCGAGCAAACCCGTGACGGACTCGTGCGGTTGCCCGAGCTGCTGTTTCGTGACTCTCGAGTCCCCAGGAAATGCCTGACCTTTACCGGGCAAAACTTCAGAGAACTCTCCAGGGGCGGAAGAAGACCACGGCGGCCCTGATTCCTCTAGCGTAGGTTTTTTACTGGGAGCGGGAGATTCTGGCGGACTCGTTCGCTTGCGTTTCAGCACACCCATTCCGCTTCCCCCACTCTCCTCGCCGCTCTCTCCATGTCCTAGAGGCTGCGCCGCCGCCGCCGCTGCTGCTGCTGCTGCTGCTGCTACCGCTGCCTTGCCTCCGGGCCTCGCCAGCTTCCCGTTCCCTCCTGCAGCACAATAATTCGTCATACTCATGACCTGCAATTGCCCGTCTCGCACTAGGGTCGCCCACCCGCCCGCCCGCGCCGCTGGCTCAATTCAAACATTCACAGAGCGCCTCGCTACTTTCCACTCAAGCAACAAACGCATGTGCCTACCTATGAAAGCTCGAGGCGCCATCCAATTATCCATCTACCAGCTTCCTCGTCTTCCACGCCTCTGCCTCCTCCCCAAAATCTTCGTCCTCTTTCGATCTCCCCGAAATCCTACTCCTCTCCCCGAATCTATCCGCTGCTGTCATAAGTGCTTTCTCGCTCTACGCGCCTCCGCTTGCTGTCTACTCCGCTACTTCCCTCGCGTCCCCGCACTGGTCAACCAGAAAGGCAAAGAACGACAGCCATCGGCAGCAGGCCCCGGAGTGCGGATTCTCTACTCGTGCGCTCGGGCCTGCCCAGCCCAGCTTCCTCAGTTCTCGTGCTCACTCGCCCGCCCTCCATCAAAGGCTCAGAACAGGGGAATGTCGGCCTGCGAGCGAGGAGGAACGCAGACGGTGTGACGGACGTGGTGACATTCGCCGAGTCGGGACGCGAGCGACGCGCAGAAGAAGAAAGGGTGGCCAGCGAACAAGAGCGAACTTGCTCTCCCCCTGCCTCTCGCTCGCCCACCTCCAGCAGCGGGCAAACCAACGGAGAAAACAGACAGACCGCGACAGAAGTCAGGCTCGTCGAGTCCTGCCGCAGCAGCCGCGTCGCCCCCGCCCCGTCCGAAACCGAGCTGCACAATCATCGTCCTCGACGCCTCTCATCGCGGTCCCCTCATTCCCGCCCGTCGACACTTCCCGACCGCCCCCGCCCGCCCTCCCTCCCTCCCTCCTTTTCTTACCCGTCATCGGGCTCCCAGCACCAGGCGTGATGCCAAGCCCGAAACCCGTGCTCTCTGGGACCTGCCGCATCGACGATCGCCTCCGCTCGCAAATATTCACGCCACTGTCAGGAATCTGATGCGCCCGTCGATTCGGCAGGCTCCAGGCACGGCGCGCAGATCCAATGCGAAGCCGCCTTCGCGCTGCCAATGCCGGGCTGTGGATTCGAGCGCCTCCCGCCCTTCTTTCGCCGAAGGCCGGGCCTCACGTCGGCACTTGCCAGCGCCCGCGGTAGCGTTCTCTCGAAAGGCCAGATCCGCAACCGCGAGTTTAATTACAGCGAAGATGCCTCTAAAGTGGAGCACGCTTCCGTCAAGTCAAGGGGGCCGAAGCCTCTCATTCCCCTTTCTTACGCGGGAAGTTAAACGGTCAACGGTATGAGTCACCCCCTTCACGGACCTGGAGAGAAGAATTGGACTCTAGTCCTCGAGGTGCCATTGTGATCCATGCCCTGTATGTGAATTGCTTTTCTACTTGTGCTTGTGAAATATGTATACACTTCCCACTAACCGCAGACTTGTCTACCTATCCAACAGCACCGGACTCGCTAGAAAGTGGTTATAAGCGGAATAAAGCTGGAAGAAAAAGGTCACGTCTGTCACCATAGTCAGTTCCAGATCTGAGGCTGTCTCGACTGTCGAATCATTGGATTTAGATACACGACTCGTAGATTAGTCCGGCACGAACGTAGAACTGGTGCTTCAAAAAGGTCAGTGCATGAAAATAACGAGGGGTTTAATTTGAACAACTACTGGAAGAGTTGTAACAACTCGGTTTTGAAACTACTGTATGATCGCCAAGTAGTATCAACCTGCAGTTTCTCATACGTAAAGTGAACCCTCATAATTCATACGGCAAGAGCCTCAATCACCCTCAATGATGCTCTTTCCCCTGGATCTTGACAACGAGTCACCACGAGTGTTGATACCGTTTTGGAGATTACAATGTGAACATTGTTTCCTGCATGAAATGTTCTCATACACAATCTTTCGGGAAAAGCTTATCATTTAGAGATAGAACAAATCAACTTTCTAGATTTGAAATAAATTTCAATATCATTGATAATTTTTATTAACGCATTGTTTTTTCTTTCTAAATATTTAGTCTTAGGGAGTAGTCTTATAACCAGCAGCACGTGAAAACCGACGACATTAAATTGAGTATGCATAGTACTTCCTAACAAGGCATCAAATTTAGCATGAGAACTGCTTGCCTCTACATCTTGAGTTTTGGCTGTTTAAGATATATCTCTTACGAGTCCACGCTTTCTTTAAATACTGAATGTCTCTTTTAGCAGCATCAATGCACTTGACTTGATATAACTCGCTTATCCTCTCATACAACTCTAGGTGTACCTAATATATCATTCCGCAAATTTAGCACGTTTTAGTCTGATATTGTTCCAGTCCGAGTCATGCGAGTTGGGCAATGTAATACAATGATCTCGAGCGATGGGCCCGAGGGAGCTGACAAGTGAGCTTCTTGTGTAGTTGTACGTGCAGCCTAAATTCTTCCGATGTGCCTCTCACTATGTACATCCCGAGTGCCCGGACCTAACAATTTTCTCATAAAGGTGTTACATCGTAATCGCATTCCTGTACCAAATGCTCTTCGCTCCTGTACTGTGGGCAGAATCTGCAGTCTGAAGTTCTTTGCTGAGTATTAAACTGATTAGCGATCCGCGAATATAATACACTTTATCCTTCGAGAAAATTACTACTGGAATATTTCCTAACTTGGGAGTGACAGTTAAGTTATTTCCTAAATTTTCCACCTCTTCGTGCAGCGGTGTAAAAGATTGATCCTGTAACACAGACCTGGAATCTTCATGTTCTGAGTGTCCGAACGCAATGTTAAGGGTCTAATAAATGAGGCGAGTCAATGAGAGTACAAGAAAGTTCCATTCACTTTTCTAGACTATATCTACGGAGAAGTATAAATTCTGAAGCACCATTACCTTCTAGAAGGCCAAGCATGGTATTATTCTTGATTTCTCTTCGTCCTCTCAGTGTCAGTACATAGGTTCCTTTTCAGTAGGCAGATGGGGCGATTCGTCTTCAAAACCGCCACAGATCTCTCAGGTGACTTTCAATGAAATTTACGATGCTTATTTTTATTTCCCCTCATTTTCTATATAGCAGATCACGCATTGACCTTTGTGACTCAGCATTGTCAGGAAAATTACTCGAAGTTAGTCTATCAAAGCAAGTGGACAGTATGACCTACTTTGAGAGTACAGCTAAACATGAGTAGGAAGATCAATTGAAGACCAGTTTTCCCTCAGTCTTACTATCAGGTTCCCAAATTATCTGCGTCCACTTGACAAAATCAATTCTTCATTTACTCCGACAATATTGGTTTATGGTTCCTCTGCGGTGACATGCCCTGAGCAGTCAAAATGGAAGTAGATATAATATCTCCCCCCTATTTTCTAATCAACAGGTTTGGCATAAACATCTGATAGTTACGATCGGATCCAACTTCTCTGAAGATTATTGCATAAAAATGCAGGAACTTTCTCAACGTCAAAATTTCATTTTGCGGGAGCTATTAGTTGGAACCACGATCTGCTGTTAACCGACTTTCAGCATGGTGAATGCCTCTGGAGAACAGATGTTGCTTCATGTTCACTAAAAGCATAACCAAAACAAACAATGCCAGATGAAACAACGAGAGACCTGCATACCTGCAAGCATCAATTCAAGACATAAGAATGTGTATACAAATCCATCGTCAACAATCAATATTAACGGCAAGAATAGATTCTGAACTCACCATGCTGGCGCCCATGGAGTTGCAAGATCCAAAAATGGATACGGCCAACTACATCAACAAAAGTATCCAAAAAATAAGACTCAAATAGAACTTATTCAGGCAACATCCAAGATTGAAATTTTGTCTATTGATGTTATGTCAATATAAAGCATGGAATTGAAAAAGTCAGTTCAGCGATAACTATTGTGGAAGTATCTTTGAAAGATTGGAAAAACTTGACTAAAATGGGATGCTTTACTTACGTTTGAAAGCCTATAGCATGAAGGACCCACTGAAAGATAATGTAGGTGGCACTCCAAAACACAACATAAGCCCCTCTGAACCAAGGATAGTACTGGAATTACATGGGAAGACAAATCCACAAGTTAGGGGTGGGTGTTGTAACCAGGCAGTAAAATGCAGTTCTAATATGTTCATGAAAGGTTATATGTAAAAGGTTATTTAGCGAAACATGAGGTCTCTCAGCTTTGCAAAGAAACTTGCAAACCATCAGCGTTGATATCAAAGACGGATTACTTCAAGAACAAATCATAACTCTTAAGACTGGAAATTCACTGTAAAATATCTGTGGTAAATCTATGTAATCATGCATTGGACAAAGCCTTTGTGAAAGTTTTAAACTGTGTGAAGAAAAGTAGTACATATATGAACGTGAATGTAAAAGACAGAGGTGTACCAGGCTGTTCAGACTAATCTCAATGATCAAAAAGATTGCATTTACAAAATGCATGTTGATATCAATCTGCACAGCAGGTGGAACACATGTCAAATGGCAAAGTAGTGGAACTAGATTTGCTAACAAATAACATTGAGAACACAACAATAATATCGAGACCGATGCATCTGGTGCATAAGGAAGAAACATGGTCATGATCTCTCTACTAACGTCTGTACTTTCTCAAAAGAATCTCTGTTTGAACACAATCATACACAATTCTGTGGATGGTGGCTGAATACCTGAAAGCATGAGTAGTATCTTGTTATTCGATGATAACAACATTTGGTGCAAAATTCAGAACTAGGCCTCTAATAACTTTCATTCAACACGTCAAATCTATAGGGATTTCGACCGTGGTTACTGGATAGGACCTATTGAGATTCCACATCTGTACCTTGGCGTAAGATACTCCACTACACGTATTATTTCATCTTAAATAGACATGGTTGCTAAAGTGGATTCCTCGGAATATGTTATACTCCAAAATGGGCTACTACTTACAAGAAGAAAGCGAAGGTTTAGGGACTGAATATCGTAAGGACATGTGCTTGGCGTTATTAAAGGTATTGAGTTGTAAAGTTGAAGTAAAAAGCTGAAGAGAGCGAACGTACGAAGGTGTGCTTGAAGGTTTTTGGCAGCACATAAGGTACAAGGATCAACCAGTAAACAAAATCGGTCATCATCACAGCCGTGGCAGCAACCTGCATTGCAAATAACGATCCTCTTAATTTCAGATATGTCAAGCGACGCGATCGCAAGAACTTTCTAGTTTTACTTATTGGACAAGGTTCTTTATGATCCAAGGAATAACACATGTGGCTCAACAACTTAATATAACGCAATAACATTTTCTCAATATCTCATGTTTGCCATTTAAAATGTCAATCCACAAAGTCAATTCATGAGTATCAAGGGACTCATCCAGCGTACGAACTCATTACCTGGAAGAAAACTTGCATTACATAGCCCACAAGTCCTGGGCTTTCAGTAACTTTGTCTGTGCATGATGTATTCGCGATGTCGTCCTTAATATCCGACAGCTCGCCAGATGTAGAATCTGGAGCTGTCAATTTAACAATTTCCTCCCGAGAGTTTGAAGATGTTTTTGCTCTGTCACGATTGAGCTTAAGGCAATGTACAGCGCTTATCCATGCGGCAACCTGAAAATTTGGTCTCTCACTGAATTAAATGTCATGCTTGATGTAGAATGATTGAGGTACAACCAAGTTGTCTTACGCACCTAATGTATTTTTCTCTATAGCAGAGCAAACCATGACACTACGTCCGCGTCTCATATGGGATATTTACAGACTAGTATTTCGGGAATGCGATCCAAAAGGGAAGTTCAGCAGAGTCGATTTTGTGAATAAAAACTTTCAGACCTACCCCAAAATATGCGATAAGAAGAATGAATGTCCACCTGTAAACATCCAAACCGAAATATCAGTCACTTGCAAGCACGACGGAGCTTCTTTACTTTAACATACGGCCGAACAATTCAGACGATGCTCAAATCCTGAACGATAATAAATATGAAATTCCCACAGCCTTCCAAAAGAAGTAAGAGTCGCGAACTCTCAAAGATGTCGGCTAACCCTGCAAGTACTTTGAAAATGTGACGAAAAGACTGCGTACTTACTACTTTCGGCAGAAAATTTAACGTGGGGAATGACAAAAGCAGAAAAGAGATTTTGGCACGAATTGGTCTCTCAAGGGTCCGAGCAACATACTGTGTGTAAAAGTAGAACATCCAGAATCCTTCCATGTAGAAATTGTATAAAACCTGTGGCAAAAAGTAGCAGAAAGCTACTAATCTAAAACCAAAAAGCCAACCAGGGTGAAGAGCACCCCAACAACACTTCCATAGTTCTCCTCCGTCAAGGTCGCCTATGGCCCATACGCCCATGTAAGGATCTTGCATCCGGCCCCGTGGCCGACCCGGTCCCTCATACTGTCTCACGAACTTGATGGCAAGAGAAACGTAGACAATAACGACTAGCAAACATGCGAAAAAAGGCCAATGTGCAAAGTCGTTCATGATTGAAGCTGAGCATCCGCCGGAAGATAATTCCTGACACACGTTGGTCTTCGACCACGACAGGAAGACAGGATCCTCCAACATGTGTCTAGTAGCTTCAGCACCCAAGAAAAATCGCGAGTGCTTATCAGCCGCACATTCAAAGGCCCGAGCAGCCCGATTAGTAATCCTCTCGGCGCAGGTCCAAATGCATAATATACAGCTCTCTGAAGTCGAGATGATCGCAACACTTCAGTGCGCGGGCGCAGATTGCCAGCGAAGAGCTCCCTGAAGGTGTCTCCAACGCCAACAAGAGCTCTCAATTTGTACCTCTCGATTTTAACGAGGATTTGTAGACCAGACACCGCAGCGTACAGAAAATTGCTGCCCGGTCCAGTTATCTTCCAAGATGAATAAGGTGGTCAAGACGAGCACGCGCAATGCACTTCCGCAGGATATATAGTGCCTTCAGCCTCCTTTTCAAAACTTCCACGGCGGCATTAACTTCTCATAAACAAACCCTGCCTTAATCCTACTCTGATCCTTCTCTCGTTGAAATAAATAATCCTCCTTACGGCGAGGGCCAAAGTCAGATGACGTTCAGCTTTTCGCCACTCCTGAACATCATTACCCTCCTAAACCCTCATTACACGATCTCGACTTTTCGCATTTTAAGTTGTGCATCAAAGTTCGTATCCTGAGCGATCCAAAGTCCCCGGCAGTGAATCATTTCGTGTGTCGTGGCCGAACATCACCCTGCCGAAAATAATCAGTTGGCGTGACACTCGGGCCTTCTTCCGTCAGGAGAAACAAAGTCAAACTGGCGGACCACAGGTCGAATGGAGTACTCCGCTGTGGTCAGCCAACTCTTGAACGGCATGAAATCACTGAGGCCATCAAGGTCGGCCAGTACGGCCTGAATAATTGCTCGGAGCAGATCGGTGCACAGTGCTTCCCAGAGGGAGCTGCATCGCAGCCGAGGAATAGGGAATGTTGCCAGAATTATAAGCCAAGGAGAGTAGCAGAGGGCGGTGTCCGACCAGCTGCCATGATATCATGGAGAAAAGCACCACGTGAAAATGCACGAAGAGCGCTCGCTTACGGCGGCAAGAGCATTGATGCTCACCAACCGGGTGCGCAAAAGGCGACCCTCGTAGCCGAGGCATTCAAGCCGAAAGCTTCCACGCATGAGGCACACCTCCAGATTTGGATGCGATTCCGGGCAGATAACCCTCTGAGGACTCGGGTTTCGCCATTTCACCGGTGACTTCCACCGGAATAGCCCAGGACCGCTCCCACGGGACAGGACCGTCCGGCATTGGATATGGTTGTACGCTGTCCGCTCGGGACGCGGGCTGCGGCGGGCTCGCATATGCTCTGGAAACTGCCAAACAGCAACGGGCAAAATGGATTATAGTCCCAAAAGTCTTCCTGCGCTCACATTTACTGAGGACAGCTCGGCTGACATTCGAGGGACTGCGAGAGCCCCCACGCTCCAGGAGAGAACCACCGCGGCTTCCAAATAGAAAGTTCCAGACGTCATCCCTGGAGTTCTTGACAATGCCTTGGCTTGTGGCTGGAGCCGGTACCGTTATGCATCTGGGTCCTTGTCAGAATGAATACCCGTTTGGCTAGATTAGCATCATTAGGCATTGAGTTCAAACTCTACCGTTCTACTTGTGTTCCATTCTCGTTCTAGCAACATACCGATATTAAGAACACATATTTTTCCACGCCTGTTTTCACATGTGCATGATCTATTGGTCAACTTGTCCACATTTTTTATCCAAAATATACTGATGCAGAAGATAATCAAAGATGGTCACATGAGCATGTATATATCGCGTTAGCATGGTGTTAAGATGCATTGAGGTAGTTAAACTTGGACTGCATGTAGAAGTTATAATTTTGCGCATTAAGGATTTTTGAAGAATTAATGATCATCATCTTGGGTGGCGACTACTAGGACATAAAACATCAAAGTCTCCAATTATAAGAAGAAAATATTTCTTTGAAACTTCGTATCGAATTAAACTTTGGACATAACATTTTTATTGAAGAGTGTGTGAAAGCCTACTTCATGGAAGTACTCAATTTTTGAGTATATTGTGTTGTCTAATTTAGATTGTATGTTTATAACTGGTCTACACACAATTATAGCAAACGCTATATTGACTAAAATAAGCATAATATGTAATATTTATTCACATGATTGTGAAATTTGGAGATATTTATTTGACTTGCAATATATTTTTTGTAATAATAATATTAAATAAATACCTCTTTACATTTCAAAATATATAATTTCATGTATTATTATTTTAAGTTTTTCATAAATATATTCACATTGATTTAGTTTACATTGACTTTCAAACCAATTTAGTCAACAAAAAAGTGTCATTATTGTCAAAATGTTGAAACAAAATTATATTGTAGTTTTATTTGTATTATTTCTTATAAAAATATGTTAATATATTGAATCTTAAAGTCTAGAAAAATTATAAAAATGATGCATGAACTTTCAAAGTACGATAATCTCTCAGTTAAGTACGCAAATTAATCTTAGTAGGATTTTGCATAGTTAAATCGGAGGTGCGTACAATAAAAACAGTTAGTTTTGCTAACAAAATAGAAGCACTTAATACAAACTGGTGTAAACAGACTAAACATGTGTCTCCTCGCCGACTAAACAATCATACCAAAGACAAACGGATGTAAACAGATCCAAAATTTGTACTCACAAACTAAGTATTTGTGTCTATCACATCACTACTACACATAAATTTATAGATCAATTCGGGTGTTAGAGTTGGTATATTCATTTGCCGCTCTTAGTTATAGGTAGCATGCGGTTAAGTTTACAAGTGGTGACATGTCAATTTGCCACACATAAATTGATCGTTGTTTGCATGCATTGGTGGAAATGGTGGCCAGATATATTATTTTGCTGAATTCACTTTCTTTTCTTTCACAATGTTTTTTCCTCCAATGTACATTCACATCTTGCAGCTTTGTTTACGAGACGAGGGCAAGGAAAAACTAAAGGTACTGATTTGTGTCTTAGCGGATTACAATTTGGTAACTAGAGTGGAGGTTTGTATCTTGGCTTATCAAATTTCAATATCCAACACGGGGGTGTGTATTCTGGTAGGTCAAAGTTTGATATTCAGCGCGGAGGTTAGTATCTTGGCTTATTACAATTTTGTAACCATCGCGGTGATCAATCCTTAGGGAGCTGTAGGAGATCATCAAGTAATCAACGTGGAGTTAGATCCTTGGGATCCGCTATCGCTTGATGATCTCTTGTAGTTGCAGGAGATCATCAAGGTATAGCAGATCTTCCACAATTGTTTCTAGCGGTAGCAAGGAAGCTATTCTCAAAAGTACAATGTTGAAGAAACTAATTGGCAAACATCTCAATAAGTTACAGCGATGCAAAATCATTGAGAAGTTGTTTAAGACAGATGTTCATAGTAAAAGATATTTAGCGCGTGCATACAATGTGAATGAAGTAGCAATTAGACAAGTGTGGAACAAACAAAAAAATTTTCTAAAGTGATATTACTTCATGTGTGATGAAGCTAAAGAAAAAATAAATTAATACTTCGTTGGTCATTTTTCCAAATTTTTAAACATGTTTTATATTTGGCTTGACCGCATGCCTTGTGCAAATTTCCCCTTGTTCCATTATCTCTTGTCATTGCCAAAGCAAAGAATATTGAATCAAGTTTATTGATTCTTGAAATTGATTTCAAGTCATCTTGACAATGGTTAAATTGATTTAGAGTATGTCAAGGATTAAAAAAGATGCTACTTCATGAAGAGTGAACTGAAGTCAACAAATTTGATTTTGTGTTGCTGACAGCTTTAAATCAACTCTATGCAATTAGTACAATATGATAATCGGAACGTTTACAATATAGTACAAGAGTTGATCATTTTTTTGTCTACTCTTGAGATACAAGCTCCTTATTCTAAATGAAGACGTATCAACAACTAGAGGTAAAACAAAATTCCAAGAATTGAATTTCTCTTATTGTATGTGCCAATGTTGTGGACACTCACAAAATATCATGCACATTGATTGATGAAAAAAAAAAACACTAGCGTGTATCAACCATTGTCAATTACTTGTTCCATATATCAATCAAATGAAAGCATGGATGGATGTTCAAACATGTTGAAAGTGTTCAACAAAGTGTTTATTCCAGAGTTGAAAAAACACAAGGATTTTGTTGCTGATGTATAATGCTCTATAAACTTTGTTTTTTTTCCTACAAATTGCACAAGTTGAAAATAGTTTTACAATATGAGCATAATAACAGCTTTGAAAAATAGGTTGAAATATCTTTATCTCAAGTACTTTATTGATATTTATGAATTGCATGAGTGTACAAACATTTTTTTAAAAACATAGGGACAGATATTGAGTTGTGGTGCTGTTGGAGTTGCATACAGAAATCTAACTCACTCGCTTGATGCTGCGAGTGATGTGAAAGAAGCTTGGCAATTTATGCCATTAAGCTCTATTATAAATGCATTTGTTAAAGCATAGAGAATGACATCGGAAGCTGATTAAAAAGCTAAGAACGACATGACAGATTTAGTGATTGAAGTTACGCAAGCTATTGTAACTTTAAATCTTTATGTTGTGGAAGAAGAGCTTAAAGCATTTCTTCATGTCGATGATGATAACATTGAAGTATTTACAATTAAAATTGTGGAAGACGTTGAAGAAGTTTTGAAGAAAAAAATTTGGATGATAAAATTGATGATGAACTTCTTAACTAGCAAGCTTCATATTAGGATTTAGGAAACAGCGTAGTATTTAAAGTATTTGAATCACTTTACAAGCATGTTGTTGATACATAGTATCAGTTGTTGTGTTCAAAAGTTCAAAAAGAGCCAAAGAAACAATTTGATGATCTTAGACAGTTGTTTGAATTGTTTCATAGCAAGATCATGTCTTTCACTTTAAAAGCAAAACGCTAAGAGACTTCAAAATTTGCTACAAATGACAATTCATGACATGTTGAACCGAATAAACTTGATTTGTGTTTATTGCACAAAAAAAAGTGTGAACTTATCCGAAGTGTGTACTTAAACGGATGAGTACTTAACCGGAAGATTATTATATGGCAATTTGGATAAAAAATTCACAAATAATCCCAACAAAAATACAAACAAAAAAATATGATATGTTGAAATATTATGATTTTTGAGCTAAAATTACAAAACTTCTCATGATTTCATTTGAAGTTCATGTTTCATTATAATCACATCAACATATGTTATGCAAATGACATTGAAAATTTATTTGTGTTTATTATGAAAATGATAAATAGTGTATTGAGAAAAAATATAGGTTTATTATTTTGTGTTTATGTGTTATGTGATTTTGAGTACAATTTTAATTTCAAATGAGTGTTTTAGCATTTCAAGATGAGGTAGTTTTATATTTTACTTGTCACTCATTACATTAACGCTAGTCAAGATTGCAATATTTGGTTGATGTTCTGTTGAGATCATGCTTCATGCTACTAGAAACAAATATTAATTGAACTTAAAAGATGAAATTATATTTTGGAAAACATATACATGAAATTGATACTTCTTGCAAGATGAATTTTTCTCTATTTAAGTATTGTAAATGGAATATAATCAACACACAGTAAAGCACTCAGCGTTTTGATCTGTAGCTATATTTTTAAAAACAATCAATAAACCGTTTTATATATTATTGAAGTTACTGGACTGTTTTGAAGTATAAAGATCAAGTTTTATCATATATCACATTTACTCAATCTTACTATACATCATCAATTGCATATTTAAAAGTATGTCAAAGATGCTATATGATCAATATATGTTTTGAAAAATAAAGACTTTTAAAAACATCATATAATGATCATAATAATTGCATTATTTAGGAAAAGTTAATTCATCATAAATAATTGATGTGTTGAATGCTTGTTGATTTATTGTAACATAAAGTTGAATAAGTAGCTATCAAACATTTTATATTGTATTTATATTCAGTTTTTTATAATTTAAAATAATATAATTTAAAATTGTTTTGTAACACGTGTTAAACTTATTTGTTCAAAATTATTTTTGATTAACAATTAAACCTCATCTATAATTTTTGTTATATCAAATTATTTCAAAGATATCAAAAACTAATGCATTGTTGATAATAAAATATTGTTGAACAAATTTTCAGTGTGTACAAAATTGATCTTCAAAAAATCAATTCTGTGTCAAAGTAAATTCCCTTAATATGCATATCTTTTAAAAAATACATTTACAACATAATATATATTTTAAAAAATGTCATTCATATGTTAATAGAAAAAATAATACATAAAATCAGTATTGGAATGTACAAGGAGAGACAGAAAACAGTCTTTTTATTATCATAAAAATAAAGTCTTTCAATAGTTTTATTCAATCAAGTTATGCATGTGTATATTTTTGTTTCTGTCAATGCATGTTTTATTCACACAAAAGTTCCATATATATTCTTTTCTTCTTTAATATATGATCTATCTACGCAACACATGCATGTGTATTTTCTTTCCTTCAATATCCAGTGATTGAATTGAAGGTTCAAAGTATATTTTTATAATTCTGCAATAAGTATATTTAATATTTTTCTTGAAGTCACAAGTTTTTACACCTTTATTTGTTTTAAGAATACTGCAAATTGAATAATCTTGATTTGAATTTGAATATTTTTTCACACCAATTTCATCTTGTAATTCTTAGTTAATCTAAATGCAGCATCATATGCCTTAGATGCAACTCATGTTCAAATAATCTAAATTCAGTTTGAATACCATAGAATAGCTTTGAATAAGCTTGTTAAAAATGTGATGTTTACACTGATACATGACTGTGTGAACAATGTAAAATGTTGGTAAATATAGCATTGAGTTAGTTTAAATTGGACATATACATCATTTTATTCTAACAAAGTTACTACTGCAATTCGGATGATTATCGATATGGTATTTAGGAAAAAATCAGAAATGTAGAGATCTTATATTTTTGGACTAATTACATCTGCAGCAAAGGACCAAGCTTCTTAATTTAAAATAGTATTCATGAAACTGATTTGTGATTAATCTCTATTAATCTCTTATTAAAATCATGTGAATTAAGTGAAATAATTACTGTATATTCATAAAAAATTTGGAAGATAAAAGAACAAAGTTACTTAATGAGTATATTTTTTTTATAGATATAACTATCAAACATGATGGCATGAATACAAAATTTTAAACATATTGAAAATAACATAATTTTCTTTTGAAATACAAATTCTGAGCATAAAAACATACGTTAAAAATATCAAATTTTTCAATTTATGAAATTAAATTTCTGATCATACAAAATTTTAAATATGCAAGTATGGATTATTATAAATACATGCTGTGATCAATGATGTGTACAATTTCTCGATATGTTTCTATGTCATGTAAATTTCTTTATTTAATTTTCAAACACTTAAAACTCATACAACTTCAAAATGAAAAAATTATTAAATACCGGTATTTTTTGTAACTTTAATTAAAATATAATTTCTGAAGCATATTTGATCATCAATAAATGCTCACATAATCATGAAATATGTAAAATGCAAGTGTTGAAAATAAAAAATAACTTGATGTTATACATGTTTCATTATTTTATACAATTAGGAAGGAAAAATCACGTATAACTTATTTATATAACACATAACCTAAAATCTTCATAGAAGTTCAATTTTTTCAATAATTTTTTAAAAATCATATAAATTAAGATATACACTACTTTTTCATTTGCAAGGCTTAAAGCATAACCTTCGTGGGGTGAAATTGACAAGGAAAAAATCTCAATATTATCTTAAACTCTTGAAATGCTATTGCGAGTATGGTGATCCAAGACTGAAGGCCTTTAACTTATGCCATTACTATAAATATATATAAGAATATGTCTGAAGAAATCTAGTAGAATTTCTGATCATCGATTTCAAATACAAACCGACTTTGTTATCTCGCTCAGTGTCCGAAGTTCATTTCTGATTCTACCTTTGTGTATGTATCCTAAAGATTCAATAGAAATCGAAATATTTGATACATCATTTTTTCTAGTAATTCTGTAATAATAATTCAAAAAGCTTGAGAGTGATGAACGTTATGGAATGACATGATTGATTTATTTTCCAGCAGAAGATTTATACCGTTTTTGTCTATAATGAGTGTATTTTATTCTAGAAGAAGTGAAGTAGACCAGATGGTTCAGTTTTGCACAGTCATAGAGACGCTTAGATCATGTGAACCATCTGGCCTCAGTGTCAGATCGTAACCCAAGACAAGACTCAGATCGAAGTGAGAGTGATATGAACCCCAGAGGCTACGTGCAAGGAAGAGCATGATAACAAAAGAATGTGGTCTCAACTTCATTGTTGGGGATTTCAAGCAACGTCCGAATTTCAGCTTAATTGAAATATATATGAAATTCGTGACCACAAGTATACTGCACGGCCAAGGGTAAGACTTGTACTGTACTGTGAATGCTTGTTCAAGATAGGAAGACGTTAGCAACGGATTAATAATGAGAGCCTGATGTTCTTCGTTGCGTATATACTACACTAAGTATATATACACACTACTCGCCCATGGATTCAAATTCTTGTACTAATTTCTTCTTGTTATCTCGTTATTGTCCACTCCTCCTTTCATGTTTCGATGTGGCGAAACTCTCGAGGCTCTATTACCCACTCATCATTTCCTGGAACTTTTGTACAAAAGGAGCTTGTACTTCCTCTACATGAAGAATACACATTTACTTTTACCTTGTGCTGATACTTGTTATTTATTGTGTAGATACACGTATAAGGTTAAAATGACACATCTATTTGAAGTCGAAGCTGCATATGTTTGATAATTGATTCTTTGGTTTAGCCTTCTTATAATTATCCAATGTTACATTGTTCGAATGTCTTTCGGATGAAAATTATCGAAAAAATGACGAGTGTTTTGCAGAAACGAATAATTCGTTCATACTAAATCGTGAAAAGGGTTTAATTATCAGCAGATGGACACTTAGCAATCCAGCAAAAGCATGGGAAATACGGAATGAAATCAAAGGCGGAGATGGCGCTAGGCCCCAACAGCAGCACAACAGCAGCACAATAATCATAAACGTAGAAGGAGGTCAAAGTTCGAACAAACTAAACGATCAGTGCATGCGACAAATGCAGTCCAACAATTAGGACAATGGAGTGTGACGAGGGCGAAGGTAAATGGGCCAGTCTAAATATACTTGTAGAAATTTGGCACCCCGCCAGGAACTCCTGAATACAGTACAGTAATGGAAGCGGTGAGGCCCGGAGAATGGACACAACGAAGGGAATGTAGATTCTGGAGTGGGACCGCGTTGAGCATAGTCACAATCGAACTTTCAGAGGCGTTCATTGACCTAGTGAGTTTGTCTTCGGCACGGTGGATTGTGGAAGGTTCATGCTCTGATGGAGACTCGATTACAGACAATTGCTCGATTTCGAAGTGGGAGTGATGGGCGAGACGGGGTGCGCAGGTGACGCGAACGAAGCTGTCATTGGAATGACGCCCGGGGGTGAAGTTGGAGGCGGAACTTGCGAGCGTTTGCTAGAAGGCGGTGGTCGCCATCTTTACTCCATCTGCTGTGATTCGGCCCTTCTCATTGATGGGAGCTCTTGTTACGGTTGCCTTGTTCGAGGGATTGGAGTTCTTGGCGGAGATTTGGGTAGTAGAAACGTCAGGGAGAGTGGTGTCGTGTTTCCGTGGATCGCACTTTGATTACTTGTGAGTGAATTGAGATGTCGTCTGGGAAGTTTGGACGAGGCGGGGGGCGGGGCCAATCCAGAATGGTCCCTCCCCCTTTGGGACGGGGGGCCGTTCCTTTGAGGAGGGGCCCTGGAATGACGAAAGATAAAGCAAGAATGGATGACAGTAAGGGTAGAAGTGGAGGAATTGGTGCAGGGAACACCGGGGGCGGAGCTGCAGCCATCGCCTCCACTCCAGCCCAGGAAGAAAGCTTTCAGTTGAAATTGGGTTCAGGCAATCTATATGCCATGATGATTCGGCTCACTCCGGGATTTATAGAAACTCTGAAGAGGGTTGAGGAGCAAGGAGGAGAGACTCAAATCAAATTCTCCCAGCACCAGTCCGGAGCACACGTAAGCTTGCCATGATGGCTCGCTGAGTTTTATAAGTTTACACGAGAATTTACTGTCTACTTGGGTATTTAGTTCTTTCCTGTCTGTTTTTGTTCTGGAGTAAGCTGACTGCATAATGGCGATAACAGGTCATCAGGGCTGGGGACGAGGAAATTCGTTTCTCTTCAGCTCCTGAACCCGGTGGAGTGTGCGACATTTTTGAAGAGAAACGTAGGCCTGAGGACGGAACGGGACTTTTAGTCGAGTCGGGAGCAGTGTGGCGTAAGCTGTCCGTGCAGCGTACTCTTAGTGCATCGGAAAAAGATCGCGTTAAAATGCGATCTGTCGAAGCAGAACGACAACAAAAGTCTCGCAAGTAAAATCCACGTCTCTTGCAAACAGGTTGAATTTTGGGAGGATTTTTTGCTGTTCGGAATTTCGAACGCTGGAGCCGATTCATGCCTTCCTTGGATTAGTATCCTGAGTTCGGACCAGTGTTGCGTTAGGGACTGAATGGGGCCCCAGAGTCGTCCATGTTCAATATCCTTGTCTTTGTGCAGCAACGAGTTGGAATTGGCTGCCCTTAATCGATAGTTATGTTCGCTGCTGGCAGGGCTATCGTACTGGATCACACTATGAGTAACAAAGCAGCTACCCCAGGAGATGGTACAGGTTCCTCCCTGTCTCGAGCGTGTTCTAATTCCTCTTTGGATCAGCCATGTTCCTGTTGTTGCTGCATCTTGTTGTGCGGGCATTGTCAGAGTAGTTGGTTTTGTACTACATTTGATCTCATTACTTTGGATGTCTTTCACGATGAGGCCTCTCGCCCGCTGTCTTTGGACTTTGGGTTAGTCAGTGTGAGCCTTTTGGTTACGAAGTCTCGTGTATTTGCTTAAAACATTACCAAGTTCTAAGGTTGGAGCAGAAGTCGTCATAGTCATCCTGTTCCCTCAGTTTGGTTCGAGTTAGTTAATGAATATTACAAATTCAAAGTTCATAGCGTGTTGCATTTTGCTTACCTCGTATCGGTAATTCCTGTTTAAGCTTAACGATTATGCTTAATTCTTTGACAGCAAACGGACGGAGGCCTCCTCCAGTGCTACTGAAGGGCAAGAAAGAGCCTCCTCAGAAGAAGCGAAAGATTGTCACCACCAGTCCAGGTAGCTCGGAATGTCTGATGCTGTTGTTCATCCTTTGTGTAACTGTCAAATATTTCCTGGGATGTTAAAGGGCCACGGTGATCACAGAATTAGTTCAGACTGTCCTCGCAGTAAGCAGTGCAATAACTTTAGAGAGTTTACCAACAGACAATTTGTGAGTAGTGATCATTCACAGAAGTTCAGGGACAAGCATACTAAATAACCCCTATGCGCATTTTTGTGCTTAGTCTATGTTACATCATCTGATGCGACATGAAACATGCATACTGTTGGATTATTCTGAGCTGCAGCAACAACAAAACCAGCAGCAAGGACATGTGCTCCATCCTGTACGGACGCATTATGTTTGTTGATAAAACTAGTCCCTAATGGTAATCAAGGAATTCGTTTTGAGATAGTTCGTTCGTAACGAAGAGAAATCGACTTACTCGCGGATGATGTAGTAGCCGGAGAAGTTTTCAGCATGTAGATGTTCCACCGTGTTGATAATCTCGTAGATGTGAGCTAGTGTTACCTCCATGTTGGTCAGTAGTTGGCCATAGAACTTTCAAAGTTGCCCACATTGTTGCACTGTAGGTTTGCCAATCCTACCTTGAGATCAACTTGATATTTCACAGCGGGAGAATCTGAAGACAAGAGGGTCTGCACCGCGACTGGCTAAAAGCCTCTCAAAGCTCTCTTAGCCCAAATGTGAATCATCTTAACTCCCACTATAAATATTTCAACCGTAGAATTATCAAGTCACGTGAATTCCCGAACGTACCTTCTGCTTTAGTGTTTCTTAGTGAGTCCTTTTAGGAGCACAATCCTTACGAGCGTACGATATGTGTTAGATTTCTCTTTACATGCAGGGTGGGAAGCTTGTTCCATATCTTATCATTTAGATTGAGTTTGTTGATTTCGCGTTCACTCAAAATAGATTGTCTTCGCTCTAAGTTTCTATACATCTGAGAGGGCGCTATGAAATGGATCTTGAAGTGCAAGTGCTTTTTAGAGAACGAGCGCGTTCTAGGTTCTGGCCGATTTTTTTGTCGGAGGAGCAAGATGCCTTGCTTAAAACAACAAGCAATTTTCTCCTAGGCTTTCTGGAGCAATACAGAAACTTGGCACGTCGGTTACCAACAAGTTATCCTGCTTCTTCGTCATCATCACTGCTCTGTTGGATAAATTGAGTTATATCAGGCCTCTCTAAATACGGCAAATACGGAACTCGAGAGTCCGATTGACGTATTTCGTTTTCAGAGTTCCTTATTTCCAACAAAAAAGTCTTTGTTATCTAGGTGGCTTTGCTTGAGAAACTAAGTGAGTCACTCAGCTAAAACATTGGGGTGACCTTTTGTGACAATATCTTTGTTGATTTAGGTGGCTTTACTAGAGAATCTCACGGAAATACTCAGCTAGAGGAACTAAGTGAGTCACTCAGCTAAAACATTGGGGTGACCGTCAATGACAAATTTTGTATTTATCTCGGTGGCTTTACTAGAGAAACTAACGGAGTTACTCAACTAAAACTTTGCGGTGACTCCTGATGAGTTCAACCAGGCAAAATCTAGTATTTAGTCTCCTTGCTTACCTCAGTAACTTTTAGCTTTGAAAACACGAGAAATTATTCAACTAGTTCTAAAATATCAAGAACGTCTCAAACTTTCGTGGGAACAAAAAGACATAGAATAAATAATGAAAGAACACAAACAGCTTTAGGTTTTTGTGAAACGAGAACATCGACTTAGTAATGTTCTCGGTTCACAAAAATCTGTTGACTGAACAGTCTGATTCCAGGTATTAAGAATAGATTTCTTCAACTCATGCAGTTTTTCGGAGGATTAGTTTTACCATTTTTGAACATTGCAACGGTGTGGAGAGTGATTTCTCAGTGCTGAAATGGGAAAAGTCTATTCACAGATAAAAAATAAAACCCATCTTTCTCGAAGATATATTACATTGCCGTCAAATTCGGCCGAAAACATGAGAGACTTCTGTCAAGTTCCGTATATTCCGTATTTTGATTTGAGAATTATTCTTATTTTGTTGAGATACGGAACATACGGAATCCTCATATATAGAGAGGCCTGGTTATCATCACTTGAATCAATCGTTGCAATCTCAATACCGCACTGTCCTCTTAAATGTCCCACGAGTGTAATGTCTGTAATCGAGGATATTTTATCCGCGCACACACATCATGCCACTTACTGAGACATTATCATTAACATTGATTGCTTTGCTGAAGTTAATTCTTGTTATATCTTTCAGTTATTGTAAATTTCTTGTCAGTAGAATTCAGGCTACTAATTGCGTACTAGTTCTTGCAGAATCGCCGAGTGAAAGTTTTGACTTCAATTTTGAAGCACTAAAAATGATCAAAAACAAGCCATTAAGCAATACGTCAAGGTCAACTGGGCATCTTAGGTTTTTTCTTTCTTCTGTTTACAGTCGCATAGGGTACGGAGCTTTTAGTCTCGTTTCTCGTCACTTCGATAGAAGGTCCTTACCTCCCAAAGTATTGTCTAAGCTTTTGAATTCACGTCATGTGATGCTTCATAGTTTCCGCTCTTTTCGATCTGTCAACCTCTGTGATCATTTTAATGGTCACACCGAGGTTCATAAATCTGTCCAAAGTAAAATCTGACAACATCGTCGATAAATGAGAGTTATCTTCATCATTGTGATGAACTTTGGAAAGGCAAGAAATGAATTAAGACGTAAGTTGTGGATGTGGATTCACGATAGCAAATGGGATGCGCTGGTACATGGCTTGTTCCATGACCTAGTGAAGGTCACATAGTAGGAATGAGGACTGTGTTTGAGATCTCAGAAACAAGAGGTTTACAAGGGTAGATTTTTGTACTGGAGCCCAGGACATGTAGGTCGTGCTTTGAGACCGGTTTGAAAGCAAGGTCTGTAAAAATTGGAAACAAACTGTGTTTTTGTAAAATTTGTTTGTTTTTGTTGTAAAAAATCGAACTATTTTGCAAGGAACCTATGGCAGACGCTCCACTGAAGTTAATTTCCATTGCAGTTTTTAAGTAAAAGTTTTTCATTCCTTTTGCAGACTGAAGTGTGCCAACCTGTAGCTATGTACTTATACACCAATTTTTGTTTCTTTTCCTCTTTTATCAGTGTTACCTACTCCGTCTGCAGTGAAGGCTCGTCCAGGCGAGAAATCGTCACCTATAGTGGCGGCTCCAAAAGCTGTTAAACCTGCTGCGTCTCCTGAGCCTCCACCTCAGAGCATTTCTCGTGCTATTGCCGCAGCTCAAGCGGCTTCGGCTTTGAGCAAAGGGAAGAATGCGGAAGAAGCTGCGGGGTCTGTCGCTCAAAAAGCTGCTGCAGTCGCACAAAGAGATAAAATTCTTAGTCCAGCTGCAGCAACAGGAAACGAAGCGGGAGGTTCTTTGAAGAACACAGGAGTTGTGAACATGAATGAACTGCGTAACTGTCTGATAACTCTTCTAGTTGACAATCCCAAAGGGATGACAATAAAGGTGAGGGCCCTCAGGTCGAATACCCCGCTGAACTTGAATATGTAAGATTGGGAAGATTTGTCCTTCGACCTGATGTTGATTCGATTCTTTACTTTTATGTTTCGTCGTTTCAGGCTGTTGAGAAGGCTTTGGGAGAAGCGATGCCCAATGTTAGGCCTGATAAGAAACAGATAGAGAAGGTTATCAAAGCGGTGAGTAACACATGAACATCTTCAGCATTGCTTGTTGGGATTTCAATCTGCTTCTGATTGTTATTCGTTTTTATTCATCATAAAGAACCTACGAAGTAATAAATTTTTAACGTATGCTTAGTCTCATACCATGAAATGTTTCTATGCAGATTGCCTCCTATCATGCTCCTGGGAAGTATATGTTGAAGGAGGGGGTTGAGAAAGGAGGTTTTACGAAGCCCTCTCCTGGAAGTGCAAGGTCAGTGCGCTGAACTTTACGATAGTCATAGTCCTTAAGCTTTACTTGATGCCGCTATATTAGTTGGACGGGATGCTTGTATAGGAAACTAGATCCAAGTCTGATTCATAGCTACGTCAAGGTATGATATCACCGAAGATCCAGTTTGCCCGATTGTTGTGATGACTAAGGATGAACACAAGAATATGCTATATATGTATCATGCGGCACAAAATCGCACTTTCTATGTTAATGAGTTACAAATGTTATGATGTTGGGATGGATTGCAGCTCCCCAGACACACCTGCTGTTGAGTCTCCACCCTTGGCAGACTCCCCTGTACTTGTGGAGAATGCGCAAGAAGGAGCACCAGATACAGGTGGTCCTGGAGAAACCCCTGGGGAGAGCACTGCAGCATCTCAGCCCGACGCGAAGAGAAGTGACGGGATGAATCGGGGTTCTTCTCATCCATTGCAAAGAGGCGGTGAAAATGTGGTTAGCAGGGCCATAAGGAAAGCAGGAGAGAAATATGCAGAAAGGTCACAAAATCCAGGTCAGGAGAAGACTAGAGTTGACTCTGATCCACAGAATCAAACTGTCGGAGCGGAAGATAACAAGGAGTCCACAACCAGTCTGGATCTCGTAGAGGTAGACCATGTAGATATAGGGGGTGACGATAGTCCAGTTGCTGGATCCCCTGAAATCGAGCATAATGACAAATCTCATGGTGTAGATGTCGTTCTTGATGAGTCGAAACACTCACCCACTTCCCATGGAGCTGATAATAAGAAGGAGACGAGCGATGGAAGCGACAGTTCAAGTGGTAGTGATAGTGATAGTGATACGAATAGCGGGAGTGGAAGTGGGAGTGGGAGTGGAAGCGGTAGCGGAAGTGACAGTGATAGTGACACCGACAGTGATGGCAGTAGCAGTAGTGCAAGCGAGGAGGATGAGGATGTGCGTATTATAAGTGATGATGAGGACAATGGAGCAAACTTGGCAGACGGACCGAAGCAGAATGCAAAGTCTAAAGAAGTCAAGGCTTCATCTCTTCAGCGACAAGAAAGCAGAGCACAGAAACTTGCTTCTCGTGGCAAGGAGCATCATAAGAAACCGAAGCAGAAGGTGCCGGATGTTGTAACGAGTCCTCATGAATCAGAAGAAGATGTGGATATTAGTGACGGTGAGGAGGTCCGGAAGGTGCCGGATCCTGTTATAGCTGAGAAAATTGATTGTTTGGGAGCTGGGGACGATATGGAGGTCGACATTGATGTTATCTCTTGTGATGGAGGGGCTCAATCGCCACAAGAATTAGGAGAAGCCTCTCCGGCTGAATCTCCGAAGGATAATGTCAAGGAGGCATCAGAAATACTTCCCGATGCAGTTATCGAGGAAGAGGTCAAAGATATTGTGGAACTTGTGCAGGAGGGCCATGAATCTATGATGCCGAAAAGTGGATCTGAATCGGATCACAGCATTGAGGAACACGAGACAAGAGCTGAAACCAGCGGGATAAGGGGAGCGAGAGTTAAAGACCAGAAAGATGAGTTTGGCGGTGAAATAAGTGAAAAGAAGAATGATATAACGGAGGCTGCTTCTCCTCAGAAAACGAAGGCATCAGTTGTTGCGAAGACTGCTGAAGCATTCGATAAGGCTGAGAGAGAAAAGGCTGAAATCGGAACGTCCCAGGCAACCAACAAGGGACGAGATGTCGGTGATGTTGCACTTTCGAAGGAGACTTTTGGGTCGCCTGGTATGCTCAAAGCAGGTCTGCCTCTTAAAGGAGATCCGCCACAGAAGTCTCTTTTGGGAACTCCACCTTTTCCTCGAGATAACTTGGATCAAGGTCGCCCGCGTATCCATCGGGATGTGATTAACAAGATGAAAGGAGTAGCCGAGTCGAAGAAAGTCATGCCTTCCAAAGAGGTTGAGCCCCCAAATAGATTTCACAGGGCTATAGAATCTGGTGAGATTCCGGATAAGCTGTCGGAGACCCCTCCGCAGCGACCTCCTGTGCGATCCATCAGAATGGGAGACACTCAGAATAGAAATTCAAAGCTGTCTGAAACTTCTGCAAAGCCCTCTGTGGAGGCAGAAGTACCAGTGAAGATCATGGATGGGTCAGGCAAGACGGCCAGAATGACTGAAGATTCTGGGGTTACTGTTAAAGGTACTGACATGAAAGAAACCTTAGATCTTGTCAAGTCAGGCCGTGATGCGGAGGCGTTTGAGCGGCCCGATGTACAAAGGAGATCCAACCGGGAAATGAATAGGGAGCCTGGCCTGCTAGGCAAGCCTGGAAAAGATATGGAGAGTGCAGGTAGGTTGAAAGAGCTGGACCAGATCAGTGGCTCTAGTAGAGAGAAGGACGGAAATGGTCTGACTAGACCTGTTAGGGATACAAAGCAAGCAAAGAAACCGTATGACGTCAGGAAAAGTGATCTTTCAGATAGAGCACAATCAGTCTCCGAATCAACTGAAAAGCTCGTTAAGGAGGTAGACCCTCAAAGAAGGATGTCCAGGGTTGGGGACTCTTGGCGAAAGTCACCGAAAGATATGGAATCAGTCAGCAGGGTGGGAATTGAGGGTGATATTCAGCTTGCCAATAGAAGAGATTCTCGGAAAAGCGAGATAGACACAACAGAACCTAGAAGTTTGTTGCTGTCTGACGACATAGTAGCGAAAGAGAAGGACAAAGAGAAAGAGTCACGATTAAATTCGGACTTAGAATTAGGAGAGCTTAGAGACATCGTGGCTGGAGAAGACTTGAAGGGCAAGGAGGCGTCGCGGGCCGACATTGGCAAATGGCGGGAGTCAGCTGATATACCATCGAAGCAGATACCGAGCAAAACTCATATCAGCCCAGACAAAGAGAAGTCTAGAAAAAATGGGAAGTTTGGAATTGAGCCGAGAAAGCCAGCACCAACAGATGTCAAAAAGCAGGTGAACAAACCTGAATTGCCTTCTGTTCGAGAGACTGTTCGAGCTCCTGGAGCAACTCAAAAAGTAGTCCTGACTGGAGAAGATAGACCCGATCGGTCGGTAGAGGTAACCAGAGGCAGAGGACTTTATGGTGATCAGGGTGAAAAGTCGTCAGACGGAAAGACTGGAAAACGTCCAGCAGACGATGCTGGTTTGTTTGATTCTGGAAGGCCTCCCAAAAGGCCAGTATCTGGTCCACCTCAAGTCTCAACGTCAGCGGGGCGTGTAGAAGCTGAGAGCTTGAAACAGGAAAAAGTAGCTTCTGCATCGGAGGTACCCAAACTTCCAAATTCTGAACTAGTCAGAGGTGCAACTTCTGATTTTGTAAAGGGTAATCATACCGATAGTTGGAGTCAGTTGACAGCTTTGAACAACAGTAAAGCCGTTGTAGAGAACGGTCGTGTGAAAAGTAAGGGCCAAGAGGCTGCTGACAGGGTGGCAATGGATAGAAGAGGATTTGGAGACCAGAAAATCACTGCTGGTCTACTTGGACCAGGCTCGAAAAGAGAAACTGGAGGAGCTGATCTATCCCACACCAATGGAGTGAAAAAGTCTAGCCACATTGATGGCGCAGATTGGTTTGCTCCATTTGAAAAGAAAATAGCAGAACTGAAGGGTCCTATCAAGAGCAGCGAGCAGTGAGTATCAACCTTCTTTCGCTGGGTTCTGGGCAAAGCTTTTATTCTATTATGGAAGTAGTCAAGGGATCGGATCTTATCTTGTTGTCGGTCAAGATGTGAGATAAATTTTGAGGGTCTGAAGAAGATGCCTCCAATTTGTTTTCTGAAAGGTCTTCTCCCGTAGAATATGACGGAATTGTGCTAAGCTGGAAAGAGAGTATATGTGTAGGGTCTTGTGCTCTCTTGTCTGCAAACACGCCTTTTTGAGCACCTATGGTTGGGACATCTGCTCGAATTCGATGGTAGACTAAAGCCAACGTGGAAAAGTTGTTATTATTGTTTGCGTTAAGGATGAGTGAAGATGAATGATCTAAGATGTGGTCGGTTGTCATGCAGGTATGAGGACTACCGGAGGGAGTTCCAAGAGAAATACCAGTGTTATCATAAACTAAACACGTGCTTAGAAAGCGACATGTAAGGATAAATTTGTGAAACTTGTTTCTAGGGTGCTGTTACATCTTGTCAAACCTACTTTCCGCTCATCGATCTATTTTTCGGCACTCTTGGCTTAGCTCATCATTGCCTGTAGTTCTCTATGGTTGCATATGCTATGGAGTAAGATAAAACATGGTACATATAGGACGAGCAGAGCATACTGGATATGTTCGACTCGGGGATACTATTGTAAACCTACACCTGAAATGGTTAATTGTTCCAAGGATATTGATGTATGGATTTTCACATGTAGGGAGGATTTTCAAGCATACGACAGGAGCATAAATCAGGCAAGGGCAGCGGATGATAAGAAGGCCCTTCAACAAATCTATCAGAATATCAGAAAAGACTATTTTCAATGTCGTAAGGTGTGTTCCGTTCATAAGCTTTCACAAATCACTCTCGGCAAATAGACAATCGTAATGGTTGACGAAATTTGGTATTCTCGTAGAAAGTCCACTTTCTATCGCCATGACTTAGATATATGTGGAACTACATATATGGTACTGGTTCGCCTATAGTATACGTAGAAACGAGTAATTAAATTTTTCCTGGACTTTCGACTCCACCTAATGTGGTGGCCGCTTTTAGTGGCTCGTATTATAGCTCTGTGTCATTTATCATGTAAATGCCAATCTCTCAGGGCCGAGTGCCCGAAGGCCCCTAAGGTTGGGGTCTCGTGCCCTTTGGGCCCTGAAACTTCAAAGTTTATGCCCGCAGGCTCGTAGTGCTCATATTGTTAGACAAGGTTTAACCTGTTTTTGCTGACACTTCAGAGATGCAAGCGTATGCAAAAGACTTTCTTGGTGCTTCACGAAGAACTTAGGGTAAGTATTTATTTTTGAGGTCCTTTCTTGTTATGTATTTTCTGTCAGGTTGATTCGATGGTTTTATCTCTTGTGAAGTTTTTCCAGTACTAGCAAAAGCTGGACTTTGTTAATATTCTTTTGTTTCTTTTGTTTTCTATCCAGGTGATAAAGCAGCGGTGTAAAGATTACCGGGAGAAAGTGGGCCAAGGGTGATGTTCACCCTAGGATGTGAAGTAGGACCATTGTTAGGAGTGAATTGAAATGCGGGAACTTTTTTGCCCTTTGAGTGTGTAGTGAATAAACAGATGTAATTTCAGTCGCCAAGACTGAATGAGTGGTCAAAGAGGCCAATTTTTTTACATTTGCAAGTTTATGCATGTAATTAATAAGCTTATCATTTCTAGAATCACTTTCTCTATCCGAATTCGTGGGAACGTTTCCTCCCTTATTTTCACACTGCTTCCGTGTAACGCATTGGCAGCAAACAAAAAGCTTAGAAATTTCTGCAATTCTTTACAGCATCCACCACTTTTGATTTCTATGGACTTTGTAGACCTATGCTGATATTCGTTTCAAGGCCTGTTCTGGTGCTACCATAATTACTCAACCATTAGCATTATAATTTACAGGAATCTAGAGGGAACGTGGTATTGGGTTCTCATTTAACTTTTACTCTAATAAGTCTTTAATCTTAATTATATATTTCGATAGTTTCTTCATCGAAAGTTGCGTGATGATTCGTTCTTTGCAGTAATGCATTTTGTTCATACGTATCCAGATCATGGCCTTTCAACAGCTACGGATTGTCTATTTTAACGTTGTGAGTTCAGTCCTAAAGCTAGTGGTCTTTAAAGAGATACCAGTGGTCTTTGTAATTACAATCACTAACCATGTGGTCACCTTGTGCAGATTTCATCATTTGTTACCTCAGGATGACTACCCTAATGATCTTCTGCAGTTTTTCTCCTGTTATCGACCCGTGACATAGCCAGCTAGTTGTTGAGGGCTCCTATTGCATTATTACCCCTTTTGCTTGCTTAAGCTCTTGATCAACGTTTTGGAAAATATATTCATATTGCCCATACTACTTAGTTGGTACGTACTGCTTGATACATAGGCATTGATAAAGGTTTCTGTCTTATCTTCCATATTTACTCTCTCTAGATTTGAGTTCAAGGTTTTTGTGTGATCCGATCTTGAATTTGGTGTAGAAATCGTGATTACTTGACTCTATGCAGCTGGTTTCACTGTTTTGCGTATGCTTGGCAATTTAAATGTTCCATTCTGGTTGGAAACATTCTGCACATATTTCTTTGTCCTAAGTTCTTCGAGTTGACACAGGTCTTTGCAGGCTGTCAAAGGCTTGCCTGCTGATGACATTCGCTGGACCCTTGCTATGCTCCAGACACATCCTGGTAAGGCAACTGCTGTTCAAATTCACGCTTATAAGGGCAGATTGCATCTGCTTTCGCAACCTAACCTCACATATGTTCATCTTATATAATCTTCGTGTGAACTTGTACTTATGATTAGTCCAAACCTGCTTGGCTTTCCTAATTTTCACTACTCTTCATTTCTTCAATCCAGATTCTGCTCATTCTCTCTGATTAGAATACATGTTAGGCTTCTTGTGGTTCTTTCCTCCCATGTCAAGCCCTTGACGCTTATCATCTACTACTCCATATATACAGTTACACACATGGATGTATTGCAGATTCTAGTAAGTCATTAAGCAACCATATTCTTCTACAATTACTTATAGCATGTCTCACCTTTAGTTCGCCACCAACTCAGTGTACTGCAGTTTGATTGGTTTAATAGGTTCATCTTTTTAATAGGTATGTACACGTTTTTACTATGACCTCTGGAAGAAGCATGCCTACATATCTAACGTAGTTCTGCCTCTTCGTTTTTTCTCCTTTTCTTCGTGACGATGCGTCTCATATACAGGTTTGTGCAATGGAGGTGTAATAAACTCCTTGGTTTATATGTATTATGAACACAATGCTTCCTGATGTCTGAATGCTTTTTATAGCGAAATACTGCTCTTTCGGTTTTCATTCATGGATGATTTCACTTCAGTTTATTTGTGCAGTAGTGTTTCTAGTCGGACGGTAAATCTTTCAGTTCTCTGGCAGAATGTTTCTCGTACTGTCCATCTTTTGGGCTTCGAGTTCTCTTCAGCCTAGGCGCTGTACAGTGCAGAAACCTTTGCACGTCGATAGACTCTGATGGAGTAGCCGAGTCTTCGTGACGGAATTCAAATGCTCTCCTTTCATTGTTGATGTGCACTGGAGGACTGGTTCCTCCCTACTGCACACTTAGTTCTCCCACCACTGTTGAATCGACAGCTGATCTTCTCGAATTATACTATCCCTCTGCTGCTCCTAAGCTTATCCTACTGATGCATTTGTTAATTGTTGATGTGCACTGGAGGACCGATTCTTCCCTACTGCACACTTAGTTCTCCCACCATTGTTGAAACGACAGCTGATCTTCTCGAATTATACTATCCCTCTGCTGCTCCTAAGCTTATCCTACGGATGCATATGTTAATTGTTGATGTGCACTGGAGGACCGATTCTTCCCTACTGCACACTTTAGTAGTACCATCGTGGTACCATCCTTTATGAACGCTTAGATTGAGGAACTTTCTGTAATTTCTCGTTATGTCAAGACGTCGTCGTATATGTAAATCTAATGGATATTCCTGTTTATTTCCTTTGTTAAAAGACTAAACTGGTTTAGACAGATACCGATTGCTGCATCGAAGTCGGACGTACGCTTCTACATGTAAGGTTATCAATTTCTTGATTGGATCCTTGATGTATATTCCCGCTTCGGTTACAATCTTAGGAAATATCTTATGTGTTAAAGTTTAGCGTGTGTTCTAGGGCATCCTGATGAGGAATGTGCGATGAGAGTGTATATGTACTTTTCACTAGTTTAGCCGCGACCATAATGGGAATTATGGAGGCTTCACACACTACAATTTTCTCATGCATCACTGTAATTGCACCAGAAGACTACAGGAGATATTTCGGATACTTACGGACGGAGGGAGTTGGTCAAATTGATGATCTGTCAGCTAAGGCGGAGGGTTCTAATTATTGCAGTCTAGCAGCGACTCCTAGACTGTTTCGCATGTAACAGATATTATCTAAAATACTGAGATACGTCGAGGTTTCTTCATGCTGGATGTACAACAAGGCAAGCTTAATACTACAATCAAATTTTCTGTGAGTATCACCTGAACACCGTCGAGCATACTTTGACAAAATGGAATCTCCGTTTTGTAGTCGTGGATAGCAACGACAATCGAGGAGCTTGTTCTTAACTGTAAGTGTCAGCGATCAATGTCTCTCAAAGTTTCAGTGAAGACCGATGGATATTGTTATACAAGTTGCACCAGTCTTCCAAAGCATTGTGCCGGTGGATGTTTTAAGGAAATGTCTTCCTTCGGTCGACACTAGAGACGTTTGACGGGAGCTGCACACTGGGAGGCTTTATGCTTAAAAATAGACGCAGTGTACTGCAGATAGTCCTTCTTTGTGCGCATCCCCCGTCATCCCATCTTACTTCTTTCTCTACCAGTTTGTTACTACTACGGCAGCTCATCAAGGCGCAGGATCTGCGGGCTTCGTGGACCTACTCATGAGAACAGTCATATCCATTGCACAGAATTCATATGAAAGAAGAACATTTGTGTCATGGAAGCAGATAAAATAAGCGAAAAGCGGAGTGAATTTCGTTTTTATGGCCTTGTGGCAATGACTTTCTTGTAGTCTTATTCTACAAGAATGTGCCGGCCTCAAGAATCTTCTGGAGATGCATCTAGTTGTCGAATTGGAAAAAGTATACGCTGGATGGCAGTCACAAAGTATTCGGAAATTCAAAGCCGTGAATGACAGCTCTAGTAAGGAACTTACTTTCTTCTCAACAAACTGCACTCATCCATGTTACTGATCTACATGATGTTAGGAATTCAGGCTATTACATCGTCTTTTCTGCCTTACTTATCTCGGGGCCTGGATTCAATCCGTAGGTTTTTTTGTTGTTGGTGGAAGCAATGTACTGAGGATTCTGAGTCTCTTGAAGTTAGCCATGTATCTGAAGCAGCCGACATTGGAACATTCCCCTTCTACAGAGGAAGTTTTACAGCAATCTGCGTACGTTGTCAGTACACATAGCAGTGCACTATGTAATCCGCATTGAGGCAGATTCGTTGATATTTTATGGTGTGCAGGGAGGCTCTGGGGGAATGCAGAGTGACGCAAGACGTGTTATAGATCAGCTAATCAGCGCAATTGAGCTTGCATCTTTGATCATGGGTGCAGTCGTGATGAGCTTGTATCGAGCTGCTGCCAGGGTGAGCGACTGATTCAATGTACTTTTTTTGGGGTGACAATGCACAGATGGAAGTATACGTAAACCCGTCGAGATCTTTGCGTCGACTTCGTTCGGGAGTTCCATAGCGATTACCGCATTTTGTTTCTAACAATGAGTGATCAATTGTCAAAATAGAAGATGCCCAGTATTCATGAGACAGCTGAGGCAGCCTTACGAGATCAATTAGGTTCGCGATAATCGTCAGTCACGCTTGTTTCTCATCGGATCAACCGGGTACGACGAGTATAGAAATCTTCTCTTGGTGAAAGCCTTGGCACGCCTGCCGGCTGTCAGTCACAAGCAGAGCAGAACGGGTAGTGCGGTTGGTGTCTTGCATTCAATATCACAAGAGTGGATTCTCATATTTGTGTCGTCGGTTTGTGACGTTGGGAAGCCAGTACACAGGCCGCGCAAGAACTTCAGCTGTCTGGAGTTCGAGTTAGTCGCAGCCATGTGTATCTCGCCACTCGATGTACAACAATGCTGCCCTGTAGTGCGTGTAAGCGCCGGCAACCACGAGCACGTGGAAGATCTGATGACTATGTCCGGCGAGATCAAACCTTCCAGGCTTCCATCTTTCAGGTATCCTCGTGGCATAAAATATGGCACCGAGTGCATAGAACATACCCATGAACACCTCGTATGTCGTTGTGGTCAGAGTGACGGGCTCGTGTCTGTGGCTAAACAATTTATGTACTCCAGGAATGACTCCAGAGACTCCCATCCCAAAAAACAGCAATGCTCGCAGTGGCCGGTACTTGGGTTTCTGAAGTAAAGGGGTCAAGGAAACGAGAACTGTCAACACCCCGATCATGCTGATGCCGGTGAGATAGAAATTCCGCCATTTTGGATGGCACAAAAATGTGTAGTACACCGGAGGGAAGAAAGATGTTGCGATCATGGCCGCAATGCCTGCGTAGTCCAGTCGCCACAGGAAATATGACAAGCGACTGGAATGGCAGCATAGCAAATGGCAGGTGCTGCTCGTTAGGAGACAAAACATCGCACCTCCGAGAAAGACGAAGAAGGGCCATCGAGTCGCCGGCTTGCGCATCAGTGGCGCCATGAGCCTCCCCAAATCCTGTCGGATCGTCCTCTGTAATTCCCTCCAAGCACGTCAATCTCTAGAAGTAAGTGGCTGCGGACTTTAGCGCCTCTATATGTGCAATTTGCCGGCATCTGAGCACATGAGAAGCTCACTTAAAACGTGCGCTACTACTGCACTCTGCTGCGAGATATTCATCAGTCAAGTGGACATGGAAGACAATGAGCTCCTTGCGCTTATCGTCCGTTTCCGGGCTGCCCGACTTTGAAATCTGGAGCTTTTACAGTGGGGACAGGTGAAATAGCACTGAAAGTTACCGCCATTCAATTTTGTGATTACAATTTTGTGTTGTGGAGATTGATGAACGGCGCTTACAACGATGCACTGAGGGTTGTTGGTGCTCGGCATTGAAACTTCAGGAATGGAAGGCTGGAGTCCGAACAGCGAGGGGACGAAAGGGGGAATCGGAGGAAAGCAAGCCATGATCTCAGAGTGGAGCTTGTTCAGGTCCGTGAACATTGGAAACGTCGATATCCTCGTCAGGGTCGGATATTCGACTCTTGGCATCTGCCACACCGTGTAGATTGTCAACCCCAGAAACAGGAAAAAGCCTATCAAATGCCTGCCACAGAGACCACGATCCACAGGACCCGTGAGTGGTTCCGCCTCCTACATATTATCGGTCCCTGCCATCTCGGTGATTTCTTGTCTATTCTACGCAAACCCAACGCTGGACACAGTGTCGTGGACAAAGTCTGCAATGCGAGTTCGAAACGACACAGACGAGGGATTACGTCATGAGTGACTCACGTCCAGATATTCAGCGTCTCGTTGTGGATGCTGAAAATGCTCAGAATCGTCTCTCTCAGAGGCCAATCTGCGCGGTAGTGCGACAAGATGTACTCGTTGTCACGCAAGTACTCGGGCAGAGCGTGGAAGTCCACCAGGGGGTAGCGCGTTTTCACCTTCTGCCATAGCCCTGGGCCTCGGCCGGATTGGACGCCGGGGCTGTCGCCGGAGTCGACCACGCCACTTTCCTCCGGGCTGGAGCCTCGCGAGCTCGAGCTCGAGCTCGATCTCGATCTGGAGCCGGAACGTCGGTTCCGGCTCGATCGCGAAGGCGGTCTGGAAGGACTGTGCGCCGTCATGGCGCTCGTCGTTCAAGCCTCGAGTGTCGATGCTGCGGTGCGCTGCAATCGGAAGCCTGTGAGCTCGCCCCGCGCACGCCTACGACGAGCCCGCGCGAGCATCGCGCCTCACGACGGAAGGCGCCATTCGACGACTCGTGCCCAGGCCTCTCGAGGCGATGGATCCGCGGGCGAACCGTTCACGATCTGCACGCGCCGCACCGACGAATCCATGCACGTCTCATGCTCCAGGCCCGCGGGCCTCGTCCGACGGGAGCGCGTGCGGGCGCGGGCGCGGGCGGTGCCGATGAAGGCCGCCCCGAGTAGAAGACGCACAGCACGGCCTCCTCTCTCTCTCTCTCTCTCTCTGAACTCCTCGTGGTCTTGCTCGTGGTGGTCTGTGGGCGGACGGGCCCGCGGGCAATGCGTCGAGAATCATCCACTGCCGTTAACGGGCGAGACGAGGAGGCGGCACCTCTCCGAATAGAACGCGCCCGTTTTCGAATACGACCGAGTTCGACTGCGGAACGCTCTCAGCGGCGCCGGGCGGAAGCGGCCGATGACGAGGCACGTCGAGTCTCGGCGCCGCCAGCACATTCCTCTTTTCAAGCGAGAGCGCCTGCGTCCGCCATTCGCCACTCCGCTCAACAACATTATTTGGTTATGTCGGTTTGTTGTTTCTGTGAAGTGTGTTGTTCGTCAAACGATAGGATATATGGAATCTTAGGGGTGTTTACACATTCCATGCTTGTGCGTTGTGACATTATCAATTGTGACGGGTTTGAATTCTGTTAGCTCCGAGATTCTTCTTTAGACGCAGCCCAAAAGGTTAAGGTGCAGAAGTTTGCTTAGGGTTTATGGCTCGTCCCTTAGAACATAAATCCTTCATAATAGTATGTATAAAATTTAGAAATTAACATTGAAGTCATATGTTTGAGTAGAACTTTATTTTTAACGTTATCTTTCAAAGGTTATATATACATTTTGCACTGAAAATAAGTAATATATATCAATCATGGATTGATATTTTACTTTTAGTTTTTGGATACAAAAATTTATTTTTCATGATAAGATGTGGTATTTAATGTGAATGTATCTCTCCATCTTAATAAGTTTGCTATGTAAAATAGGGAATCTATAGAAAATGATTTATAATCATGAGTTTATTTCATTTAATTTCATAGGATTGAACACTAACATCTTTTGACTTCTACATTCTATGAACCATTCATAAGCGTATGTTATTTTAAACAATAAAATTCTCTAAAAAAAATCAAAAATTTTAAAAAAGTGATTTTCACTCAAATTATCATATCAACATTATGGAACTAGAACCGGTGAGCCATTCAAACGTTGAGCCCGAATGTGCTAGAAGAATTTTTATTAAGTTTTTCGTTAGTGAAATACATCTCCCGACCATATACATTCGGGCACACAAAAGTCGTGACCAGCACTCTTGGTTTGCTAGAGGACGAAGGCTTGGAGGTTTAGTTCCTGCCATTACAATATTTATTTAGATAAACAATGTCACGAACATGACCATGTCATTATAGTGTTGACATTTGGGAAGAAACATGACCCCTGGCAACTTTACATTTATGAGATAAGTCCTAGGTGCCTATTACATTGTGGTGGCTTTGGGTCGTTATTCTTTTGCGCGGACTGCATCCTTCACAAAGAAAAAAGTGGCCTGACGGTGATGTCTAGTAGAAAATTTTGCATTTAAAGAGTTGTTATGTTGTCAATTTTCAGTTGATTCTCACCTCCTCTGATCTCTATTCTAGACTGAATACTGGAGTCGTAAGTAAACGCCTTCTTATGATCACTTCCTTTTGTAGTATCAACCGTTAGATCTATCTCCTCTCTTCAAAGGTAACATGAGTTGTTTAGTAAGAAAGAGAAGCTATTATCCTACAAGTAGCTCGCATCAAACGTGCATTGCTACGGACTGGACTCAGTAACCCGATGAAAATTTCCACTATGATAGAGTGGAAATAAATATAAATAGTGAATAGAGCATAAGAATATATTCAGTGTAGGTATCCAAATGCAATCTAGTCTGTTATTATTTATTTATCATTGACTATAGTCAAATTGGTATATTTCAAGGATCAATACTCTCCCCTTGGTGGAAATGTATAAATTGTAATCTATGTGTAAGAAAAAAAACACTATGGACAATTCAAATGGCATATATGATTGTTTATTTAAAATTAATACTATGGCAGCTATGATCTAAAGAGCCGTATTTGCCATAAATGTAAATTTTTGATAAATGAAGCCAAACTTTTTATGAGAATGTTATAATGTTTAACATGATGTCTCACTTATCTCTATAAGAACTGTTACTTCAGGAAGTCACTAATATAACTAACATAAGTAATGACACCAAAAAAATTCATAACATAACACTTCATTTTATATACATAACACTTCATATGTGATGAAATATAAATGATCAAAGCCATCCATTTCCAAACACCTTATAATATAATTTAAGTAAAATAAAATATATATCATACAGAAATTATAAGTATTTCAGAAATGTGAAGTGAAATATTATTTACAATAAAAAGATCACGTTAAATATATGTCAAAAAATATCAATGAACATGATATTGAAAATTATTAATAGGTATGCTCTCTCAGTTCTTGATAGTTTGTGTCATGTTTATGTTAAATACAAAATTCTGGTCTTATATCTAAAATACTTGTACATTTTCAAAAGAAAGTAGATAGAGATGAGAAAACACGTAGGAAAAGAATGATTCAAACATTGGAAAGATGCAAATATCTCATCAAATTGTCAAAAAAGCAAATTAATAATGATTCAAATTTTGTTTACTCAATAATGATAAAAATATAATATTTAAATTTTTGAAATGAAGATTCAATAATCTTTACACAAAAATACACTTTGATGACATCATTCAATCAAAATACATTGTTTCAAATGAATTTCATAATATTCTAGCCACAATCTTGTGATCAAATCCACCATTCTCCAGTCCTAAATCATATGTCAGCTACTCCACTCACGTAATCCAGGCAGGTAAACATGCATTGTCCATGATGTTTCACCCTGATTGCAAGTTGGTGACCAATAATCCAAAGCCTCGATTACCTTCCTTGCTTCTTGCTTCTTGCTTGGCAAGCCCACCAGTGATGAGCTCTTTCTCTCTCACACTCATAATCACTCACTTTCGCCAGATGCTGATCAAACACTTATCACATGAAAACTTATTTCGAGAACCTGAACGCTCTCCTCTGCGAGCCTGAAGAACAAAAGTTCCTTCTTTGTTCAAAGCTCATGGCACCCAATGATTTGCAAAACCAGCAAAACCAGTCATCTGAAAGGGTTTCATCGAAGAGAAAAGATAGATTTGTGCAATGGGGAGACTCCATGGAGAGAGGCAAAAAAGAGACGAGCAGGAGGAGATTGGCAGCGAACGTGCTGCACAGGACCGGGAGAAATTCGTTGACGGGGCTGCTGCTCCACCTTCACCTCCTCTGGGCGACGACGACGAGCAGACGAGAAGGGTCGCGCGCCTCTTCTGGGGCTTCAACAGCTTGTCCTTCTCGTTCGCCATCGCGACCGTCATGGCCGGAGCGGGAGCGGTCTTGCCCGTGGCGGACTTGTTCATAGAGGACGCCGTGGCGCGAGTTCGCGACTGGTTGGCCGTGACGGCCTTCCTGTTGTTGTTGTCGGCCGCGTTCGTGCTGGGAGCGTTCGGCGCAGCGGGGTTCGCGTCCATGACCACGGTTGGCGACCTGGAGGCCAACATGACGACCACGACGATCGTCGGGGGCGCGGTGTGGCTGCTCATCGCGTCGGTCTTCTTGCGGGGGCTGTCCAGAGTCAGCACCGTCTGGCCGGCGAAGCGACTGTTGACAGGGTGTGCGCGGCTATTCTCGTTACCTTCTGCCCGTTTGCGAGCGCGTGGCCTCTCTTTGCTTCTGCACGAACAGTTACATTTCTCTTTCCTGCCTGTAAAATTAAGTGCTGCTTGTCTTCACGATCCTACTTTCCAACTATGTTCTCCTGCAGACAGTTTTGCATGGGAAGAGATAATCTTTTCCCCTTTCGGCCAAAAGAACCGAGTCCGGAAGAAAAGGATGCATATTTTGCAGAAGCTCGTAGACCTTCGAGCGTTGGCGAGGAACGTAAATTGCCGCCATTGTATTTCGATGCCAATCCTTTATCAATAGTACAAACTAAAACCTTTTTTTTCCCATGCACGAGATATCAAACGATGCAACATAATCATTACCAGCCGGTGGAGGATCATTCTGCGGCCACTTGCAGAATTGTGTGAGAATGGCTTTGGCCGAAGAGGTTAGAAGTAAGTCTCCGAATCGGCAAACGGGAAATTGTATTGGACTTTGCATTTGTACATAATCTACGCTGGCACAACAAATGTAAAAGACAAAAGCAAGGGTTCTAGTCGGAGAGTATGGCTTATTTTTTTTAGTATATATACATATAATATTGTGCTCGAGATAAGACATTCTCTTTTGTTAACTAGAGATGATGAATGGTGATCATGCTCCATACTTTCAATGTGACGTAAGTATATTCGTTGTCTTTTGTTAGAAGGATAAGAAATAAGCAAGTTCAGAAGGATATGAAAGTTTGCTCAAATGATAATTCGAGTGAAAAAGAATATCTATGTCGACAAATAAGTTTTGAATTATATTTTTCAATGATTTGATGAAAATAGATATAGAAGATTTAATATAATGGACATGATGAACATTTGTTTTGAAATACTTAAGTCCATTAAAAAAAACTAGTTAGTGAATGTTCACTATCAACCTGAGATCTAATCCACAATAGAATCAATAATCATGAATATAGAAATTACATCAACATGATTTGCGTTCTCTATCAAATTTGCAAGAAAGCTGAGTTCATTATTGTAAAATCTATTAAATGTTCAATGTATATGTTTTTAAATTTTTATTTATTTATTTTATTTTATAGATTCAAATCTTAATTAGTATAAAATATAGTTTTAATTCAAGTTATTTTAATTATAATCTAAGGTAACTTTTCAAACTTCTAGAAATTTCATTTTTCACTAAGTCAATATTAGATTTAGTTTAATTAATGAAAATTTTATTATTTAATCAAACCAATTAAAACTAAACATGAAATCAGTTTTTTTTTAGAAATAGAGACTTTAATAAGAAACAAAATAAAAATGCACATCCAAATATTATGGAACATCCCTTAATCTTTTTTCAAGTATAAATATTATAGCTAAACTTAGTTATCACTGGATAAATTTAGCTATAATTAACTAGATTTAGTCATATCTAAGCTAACTATAATCAAGTTCTTTGTTATTAATTATTTTACACATATAAAATATAATCTTACATTGAACTCTGGGCCAAGATTTCACTAACCCTTGAAGTGAAAGAATCTAATCTTATCAAGACTTGTAGTCCATACTTGTGACAAAACTTTTTCAATACAAGAAGATTCAATTACTGTACTTAGTTCACTGCTCATCTATATACATGTTGTGAGGGTTCTAGAAGGTCACCTATTGCAGTTGTGGCTCTATAGTTAAGTGTACACTTGTCATGGAGAGAGTTTCAAAGACTTGCTTCACCTAATGTTGTCGTGACTCTATCATAACGTGTACACGTCACTAGCATTCTGTCACATATTGCAGCAGTGACTTCACAAACATGTGTACACGTCGCGGAGAACGTTTCAGAAGATTCCGTCATGACCTGCAATCGTTGGAGTACTCCGAGACCACTTCACGGATGTAATCCTTCACATTACCCCCTT